TTTAAGATTATTATGTAAAAATGTTTTGTAACATCTGCTAAAACGTTGCGAAATAAGAGAGTAAAAATACTTTCTTCTTGCGTATTGGACAAAATTTAAGTGCAATTTTGTTAAAAGTCTCTAGCAGCTGCTAGATTAATAACGTTAAAATTGTCTTATTACGTACTTTTTCCATTAAAGACACAGCTTCAAAGGAAATTTTAAACAAAAATATTTCAGTCTGATTCACAGTTGTCCACTAGATTTAGTAGCTTCGCATTTACTCCAACGTTTTTCTTGCTGCTTCTGATTATTATCTGTAGTAAATTAAAGCTAAGAAAAAAGTATGTCTCACAAAAATCGAAGAAATATATGTCATTTCTTTTGGTTGAAGAGCTTCTTTGTAACGAAATAAAATGCTGCTTTGTGTAAGATATTGCCAAATTTGTATTATAGTACCTATTTCTATTGTTAGTAATGAAAAATGTTTGCTCTCCTTTGCACTTGATGTCTACTTAACCACCCGCTTAGCTAACATCTTGCTTTTGCCCACAATTAATTGTACACATACACATCCACTTTTTTATGTAGATTATAGTCTATTGTTCCGTTAAAAATTCTAGTAGGTAGATCTTGTGTACGTACACCGAGGTGCATACTGCCTTTTGCCATACGAATGCATATCTACACTGCGCCATGGGCAGGCCAGCACTTTTCCGGACATTGGTGGAAAGATTGAAATGTGCACGTCGCTCTCGGTAGTTCTTGATTCTATTTCTCACCGTATTTTTTTAAATAATAAATAAATTTTCTTAAATAGGTATGAGCTCCCTCTTAACATTTCAGGATTCTAACGTTCTGTTGAATGTACTTTGTGTAACTAACTGAACTCGTTCTTAGCAAACTAGAAGTAGTTGGTACATGGTTGGTACCATTGGGTTTGAGAAAAACTTCACTTTTGTTTTTGTCGTGGAAATGACAGGTCGATCTTTGCGAACATTTTCGATTTGAACTGGACAATTCCAGAGTCACAACGCTGAATTTGTTTAAATTAATTATCTAAGCGTCTTTACGCGAATGGGGGGTGGCTGTATCCTCTTTAGGTAAAGATTATTTTCATAGAATTCCTATCTGTTAACACGTTTTTTAGGTTATGCCATATGCGTTAATTTAATTACCGATCTTTGTTTTATCTATATCGCAATCTAAAACCCATTTATTAATGGGGTACTTAACGTAAGTTCGAATTAATTGGAATGAATGATTTTTGGTATTGTGGTTTTTGGATATATTTTTCTTTGGACGTACCAGCATTGATGTGATCGTGTTAAAGAATGTTCTGGATGAAACTCTCGCTTTAAAATTGAAGAGTGGTACCTGTCGATTAGCTGCAACTGATCTATTGCATGGTATCTAAGATTGAAGAATCGCTAAGCTGCTGTTATTTCGACTACAGGAAATTGCAAATGTGTAGGTAATCTGTTGGTAATCGCCTTTGTCGTTAGTTTATCTTGCCGTTTATCTTTACCAACGTTTTACAATAGCCCAACAACAAAGCACGGCCAGCACGATGGCCTGCACAATACACTGCACTCACATTAAAGGGCTATTACGACAAACTCACTAATACTTCCGATACTCTACTTAGCATCCCTTACGATCGTGACCAGAGCACCAGAGCGCATATGCGACTTAACGGTCTTAACACGATCCCTTAAAACTCAAATAGGGCATACTTGACCAGTCAGCTTGCAACGTTTATCAAATAGGCGTTGCGTTGACATCGTTCTTACATTGGAAAAAAACATTGTAGATTTTGTGGCGATTCAAGGAAAACCCGATTATAAAGCAACAGTATAGGTACATTCATATTTCCATAAATTAAGTACAACTTTATATTGTTTCCTTATATCATTTTAATAGACTTTTATAATGACTACGAACACTTTGAAGTGCATACATGGAAAATTATATGCAAATCTAACTCATTTTCAACTAAAATATAAATGAACTCAAGCGAAAGCGTAGAACTGAAGTATGTACATACTTCTACTTTTACAGTTGGTAGTGGGTACGCTTCTTTTACAGAATTATTAGTCTAAAAGTGCCAGTTTTGAGATTGTTGTTGCATAACTAGTTGGCGTAGACCACAATTCTATATTGCAACATGGTATGCTTAAGTAAAATTTAGTGCTTGTTGTAACTGCATCATAAAAAACCCAAGTCACCCCTCGCACATATAACAATTTTATTTCTAGACCTAAATACGTCTGAAGCTATAAGGAATTTTATTAGTCACTCAAAACGAGGAAATTATTTACTCGACCAAAAGAAATATTAAATAGAAGGTCTGCCTTTATACTGTATGAAAAAGTATACTTTTCATCTTGACATTACCATACGTCAGGATAGAAATGACGCCATTCAGTTCGAAGTGAAATAAGAATTATGATCCTATTCAAATCGTCAAAAATAACCGTTTATTTTGATGTTTGAGATACTTTACTGGCATAATCTAAACTTCAAAGGATAGGTATGTATTTAAAAGCGTTTCTGGATCACTTGTGCTGGCTTATTTCCTACTCGGTACCCAAACCAACGGATAATTAAAGAGACGAAGGCGTTGGCGTTTCATTTAGGGCAATCGATACCTGTATGATTTAATGTAATTTAAAGTATAGCGCTTTGGGCGTTTTTCTCGTAAACGCTGAAAAAGACTTCCCGCGATACTACGTGGTAGCTGTGATAAGAGTGTATTTTCGTGATTTAACACAAGAATAGCCTAATAGAAAGATTTATATGGCATAGATCAATTCATGAAGTATGCGAAACGTTTCGATTGGTGTTCGTCTACGGTTTCTGAACAATTTACCCTTCAATGTTGAACCTCTATAATTTATGCATATGAGTTTCACCTGTGAAGGGATGGAACTACTCGGGGACTCATTATCCGTTAGTGTTTAATTATTAAAATGCAATAAATCTAGCAATCTACGTATTCCTGGACCTAATAATTCATTTCTCAACGTGCTTACCAAAGATTACTGACATGCGTCTTCAATTCAATAATATCACTGGAATTTCCTCGATAGCCCCATTTCACCCATCAGATCAAATATTAAATATTGAAATGAACCGATTTTTATTTTACATATGCATTATGTTACCTTCATCTCTCAAGATAATATTTCCTGTATCATCATCAATGTTTGTAGAAAACTCATTGCATGAGACGCATTTTGTGAATCTTCATTAGGTTTGCCATTTATATCGGTTACAATTTTGTGTAGTGTACGTTACTAAGCTATATAACTATTGTGAATATATCCATATTGGAAGATCCGAATGCAGTTGAGGTTACAAATTGAGTTTGCAAAAAATATGACGCATTTTTCAAAAAGTCCCAAAAATCTGAGTTTTTTTTTCAAGCGAGATATAAGATAGGGAATAGATGTAGCATGTTTGATTAGAATAAGGGGTTCTTATTATATTCAAGATAGTATTATAATTTGGGTAAAATCTTTATTCAATTTTTTGTAGGCACTGCGGAACAAAATTATAAGAGAAAATGTGTGTTCGGTTACCCTAGTCGAAAATGGGCCACTTTCACATTTTTTATTTATGTGATAAATCAATGCGGAACATAAAGAAATACCAGTATGCAAAATTTCACAATCCTAAACACACAAACTTTTAAATTATCTAAAGATAAGTTTTTCGCGCGCTTGGAAATCATTTTAAACGCTAGATTTTGCCGGCACATGGTTGTGATGTCACAACTGTGTAAAAGTTCAGTGGCGGTATACTTGCATGTATACTTCAATGCGACGATGTAGCGTATGCGTTTGTTGTTGCTTACGTTTTCTCCTGTGTACCGTGAAATATATAGATGTCTTTCTGACGGCACGGCTTGAGGCGGCCCTTCACGTACGCACTTCGCTTCGAGCTTTGCATGACAGCAATACTCGCGAGCATTGCACGAGTACAATTTTTACCCTTCACGTGCAGTCCTTGTTCGAAGTACGCCAAGTGTAGTTACGTTAAAAATCGCAGATTAATGATGGTAATACGAGAGTAATAAGTAAAAAACAAGCAGCAGCAATAGGTAGTTCTTTTAGATCGTAATGAAAAAAGTAAAATAAGAAAAAAGGTATCGAGTAGAGTAAAGGAGTGGTAGGTATAAAAAAACGAGGTGCTGCCAATCATATTTATCTATTAATAGAAATCAATGTAAATCACTCTGAAGATTACCAAATGTTGCTTACGTTTTCTCCTGTGTACCGTGAAATATATCGATGTCTTTCTGACGGCACGTCTTGAGGCGGCCCTTCCCGTACGCACTTCGCTTCGAGCTTTGCATGAATTCATGTTGGGCAATGTTCGTACAGGCAAAGCTCGAAGCGAAGTCCGTACGTGAAGGGCTGCCTGAAGAGATTAAATGTGGAAAATTTTTAGTCCACCTAAAAATACACTATTCGTACTAATTTTTTTGAACTTTCTCTATCATGTCCCGACCCACACACACACATGCACCCTTTATCGTTTTTTGCGCACAAGACACAAAACAAACCTGGCCGGGCGGACCTCTACAAACCTGGATCTACGAACACAAGAATGTAAACAAATATGGCGACCACAGTTGTGACGTCGCACCAATGGCAGGGCGTTTGCAACTGACGTCATATTTAAAGGGATTCCCAGTAATTGTTTTTACTATTTGTTTAAAAACAAATGATCTTTTTCAAAAATTAGTATTCGCCTCATGTATGGCGTATATAGTACTTGCCACCTGTGCAAATTTTTTGCTAATAACGAAACCTTGCAAGTAGCCCATTGCGACCATGGTTTTTATAAACTGGAACCGAATGTTTATGAAGATGACGCGTATTATCTGCAAACGAATGGTAGCTTATGGATGCCAAATACAGGCGAATGGTTAGGTTTTGAAGAATTTTGCTTGGAAAACATGGGTGGTAATGAAATATCGGCGCTCCTCTGTTTTTCAGAGCGTTTGGAGGATGTTATCGCTTTAACAATATCTGCATTTGGTATGTACTTGTAATGTTGCTCTTGTTTAGAAGTCTCACTCTCTTTTGCCCTCGCCCTCTCCCCCGTCCTGTGCCCTCGAACTCGCCCTCGCCTTCGCTCTCGCCCTCGCCTTCGCTCACGTCCACGCCCTCGCCCTCCCTTCGCCCTGTGCCGTCGAACTCGGCCTTGCCCTCTCTGACGCCTTCACCCTCACCTTCACTCTCACTCTCATTCTCGCTCTCCCTCTCGCTCTCACTCTCACTCTCAGTCTCATTCTCACCCCCACTCTCACTCTCACCATCACTCTCACTCTCACTCTCACTGTCACTCTCACTGTCATTCTCAGTCCCTCTAACTCTCACTCTCTCATTCATTCAGAAATTAAAAAACTGTTTTTGCGCATGCACAATGAAATGTTTGATATATTCGTTCAACGCGTCGAAATTTCGCAGGGACGTATTTAGCTTCTTGCTGAGATCGATATAGGGTCAGTCGCCCTTCAATATTCCACTCTAGCCTAGAAAGGAAGGACTGCTGCCAGTAAAATGTTGGCACGTGCGTTCAATTTGCTTTTATAGCTGTTATAGCCTCATGCTACCTAGTAGGTAAGGGGGGGGGTAGATAGAGCTTACTTTACAAAAATCAGTTCCCATAGAAACAAGTATAAATCGTGCACAATTCTTGTGCAGTACCCTCTCCTGACAATCCGTTCTTGAGAATATACCCGATCACGATAAGTGGTCGAGGAGGGGGGGCTATGATTGGTAGAAATTAATTCCTTTCGTTGAGACCTTTCATTAGAGTACCATGAAGGATAAAACTAGTTCCACTCCCCCCTCCCCCTCCGCCCCATACGTGGATTAGAAGACAGAAAGAAGGGCAGTAGTTGGTAGAAAACGGTTCCTTTCGTTGCAACATTTACTTATAATACAATGAGCTCAAATTAATCCCCCCCCCTCCCCTAGGTCCCGTCGCTCACTGATCTCGAAAAAGAGACACGGGAAAGTTATACTTTGTACAAACCAATTTATTTCGATGAGACTTTTCATTAGAATAGCATGAAGGGTAGAACATGTGCCCCCCCCCCCTCTCTTCTAAAGTTTAACTTGGCGTGGGGGAGGAGGCCTTTTAGACAGCGAAATTTGATGGCCGTCTGGCACACCTTCACGGTATAGGTAAGGCTACTACTCTAGGACCATTCCCCTAGTAGTAATTCGAAAGGGCAGAAGTGGGTCCGGACGGACGGACGGACAAAACGCAAACAATAGCAAATTTTTTTAATTTTTAAAAAATGCGCTAAAAAGTTGTGCCTACGTATGCGCAATGAAGCATCATACTACTTTTAATTTGAAGTAGAAACCATCATCAATAACACATGCTGTTTTAGTGAGCCAGAAGTAGGGGGGGGGGGGGCAAAGGTTGATTTACAAAAATCAGTTCACACCAATCAATGGGGAGGAGGCTCTTTACACATAAACGTTTAAAGGTCGCGTGGCATACACTCAAAATCCTCCATTCTGCAGATATTTGCACTGAAAGCTTTGACGTTCCACTTGCCTTTTATGAGTACCTTCTTCCGACATTTCGTTGTCAAGATATTTGCGTCGACTTCACCAATATATAGGTATGTCTCGTCCAGTCGATTCATTTTGCCTTTTGAGAGTACTTTCCTCCGACAAACCGTTTTCGCTCTTAAACTTTTCACATCACCAATGGATATTGTTCTTCCAGATGTCCCAAGCGCCCTTTGTGAGTACCCTCTTCCGACAATCCGATGTGGATATATAAGGGAGTATATCAGATCACGATAAGAGATCGAGGAGGAGGACTGTGGTTGGTAGAAATGAATTCCTCTCGTTGAGACCCCCCCTACCATGAAAGATCAAATTAATTTTTAACCACACCTCCCCCCCTCCCCTCCCTGTCTCGCCCCTTCATCCACTGATTTCGAAAGAGTCGCGCGGGAAAGTTATAGTTTGTGGAAACCAATTCATTTCAAAGAGACCTTTCATTAGAATAGAAGGGTAGAGCCTGTGTACCCCCCCTCCCCCCTCCAAAGTTTGACTTGGCACGACTAAAGGCATGCGTATGCAAAATGTGAGACCAATATTGAAATAATAAATATTGGAAAGAAACCAATTCTTACAGCCAGTCTAGAAGGACAAAACCTAATTGCTACATAAGCTAAAAAAATGTCCCTGCTGGCCAGATGGTGGACCTACTCTGATGTCTAATTTGTAATCTTTTATTTCTTTCCAATTACGTTCAGGTATCTATGTTGGAAAGTCGGATTATGGACAATACGCTGCATTCCTATTGGTGGCCATTAACAAATGGAAAGTTTTAATTTATGGTGAAACTCAATTCGATCTTCGAATCGATCTCTAGCCGCTATATGTGAAGTGTTACTCACTATCACATGATACAAATACGTGTGTGTTCATCGACCTAGCACACGTCATGATAAATTAGCACGTTAATAATACAATATGAATTTTTTTACCTATACACAAGTTTTCCTCTAAACTAGGAGGAAAACGAATTACTTTAAATAAAACGTAGCCCGTTACAACGTAGGGATAATCGGTCTTTAATATGACACGTTACCGTGGAAAAAAGTGGTACCTACGAAGAAGAAGGGAGCGAGGGGGGATTCCAGGCGGAGTTTCCTTTAAGAAAATCAGTTCAGAAATCAAAATACTAATTGAACAGTAATGTTTTTCACAATGAAGCGGCTACCCTTAGTTTTTTAGGTATGATGATTTCATTGCCGTTTCTATTCGCTACGTTTCTGGTCTATGCCGTCTTACCTGATCTGACTCTGCACGCAAAATGTCTCATGTGTTACGTCATCACATTGGGCCTAGGATATGCGTCATTATTATTTATACAATTCAATTCAAGTCTCATCGAGGACGCTTCTTGCGCAACAATTGGTAAGTTTCCTACCTGTACATAAAATAGGTGTGCATTTCGTTTCAAGATAGACGAAAACTTGTCCCTACGAAAACGATCGAGATTGGTTGCTGGCATTTGGTCTATCTTGAAAGTGGATAATCTAAAATTAGTCCTGGTAATATTCATTTTAGGCATAAGCTGTTACTACTTTTTGATGACATCTTTTATTTGGATGAATGCCATAGCAATTGATATATGGTGGACGTTTAGGTAAGCAAACAACACTAATGGATGTAGCTAACGTGTAAGTAAAGCGAAATTTTTTGTTTTGGCCGTTGAGAATAAGTAGTTGAGCTTTGAGTTATTCACATTGATAAATTACCGTTGTACTCTTGTAATTTAGGGTTTTAACAGAAAAACTTTCATTAATTGTCTTTAACATTTTTACCGGTAGCCGTTCACACCTTTTATAAACAAGTTGGACTTGATTAATAAATTAGTCTGGTTTTACGTAACTTGCCACCACAAATCAAACGCAACGGATTGTTTTGCCCCTTGGACCCAAACGCTTTCGTAGTAACAATTTATTTTGAAGGCAAGGTTAAGTAAATCACCGTTTTTTTGTTGCGAGGTCAACGATTCTCCCACACAGCGAACTCAAATTTAGCGCACACAAAATCACAATATGTATAAAGCGCGATCGAAAAATGTAGCACTCGACCTTCATAGATTTTCAATCCTGCTATCCTACTAGATTTTTACTTAAATACCACGCCGGATGCGAAACGACCGACCTTTCCCTGAACGCAACTCTTGTGGAAAGCGTGCCCTCTCAACCAATACAAATCTCGACGTACGTACGTCTGTGAGATCGTGGCAACACTGTGCCGTTTTGACATTTATTTGCTAAAGTGACCACCTGTTACAGTTTTCAGTTGTCGCCAAGAGTTTCTAAGAGCTTTTATGTGCACACATCAAAGACGCAAAAAAATAACAAATCTCATTTGCAGCGGTTTGCGAAGACTCTCCGGCTCACGCAAAGAATCGGAAAGGAAACATTTCTTTTTATACTGCGGATACGCGTGCGGCGCTTCATTTCTACTGATTTCCATAGTGGTCGGTTTAACAGTGGGCGACGTAGACCAAAAGGCATGGTATTACCCTGGATTTGGCAAAAACCAGTGCTGGTTCAAGGGGGAGATGGCACAATGTTTATATATTTACGTGCCATTGGCGGCGATCATTATAGCCAATGTTGTACTGTTCGCAGTCACTGCTTTCAAAATTAAACGTGTCCAAAGGGACACGGCCGTGTTGAGGAAAGAGGACAAGAGCTACGAAAATGATAAACAAAAGTTTGTTTTCACTTCCAGCGGTTGGGAGATTGTTATTAGGTGTCGTTTGTAGATTCCACTTGTTTCTAAAACTAATGCTGGCAATGGGAGTGAATTGGACCACAGAATTTGTGTCGTGGTTAGTCAACTGGCAAGTGGCTCATGTACCACCGTCCGTTTGGTACTTAACGGATTTTTGCAACGCCGTGTATGGAGTGTTGATTTTTTTCTTGTTTGTGTTTAAGCGCAACGTATGGAAGCAGTTGAAGAGAAGGTAATTACGTTGACTTAATTTTTAACAACTTGCTTCCTTTTTAGATACTACATGATAATAGGAAAACCACACCTTGCCAGATCTGACACGGAAACCTCTACCACAAGATCTTGAAACAAAACAGCTGATAGGACTCTTGCTATGGATTCCAGTGTTGTATCCAATGAGGTTTCATAAACTTCATAAACTATGTAGTCTTGAAAACATTTCAAATTAAAGGGTTGTAAAAATCTTCGTCAGTTTATGATGGTAGGTAAAGTAGAATGCTTGAGTTACAGCAAGCTAGTTGAGTGTGTCAAGCGAATACTTTTGTCTACATCAAACACCACCACTCGCACATCAGTCCCCGTAACTCATTTCATTCTCGCAGTTTGTCTACTCTTTTAGGGAAGCCATAGGATCGTTAGCATGCCCCATTTTATAACTGTCCCAAATCTCATCTACGGATACCATTCCCACGAATAACTATACTAAAAGAAATTCTTTCAGTTGCTAAAATAAACAGAATAAAATGAATTCTAACAATTAAATAGAGAGCTCGGGCGCCATTTGTAAGGTGTGTTTTTGGTATTGCCTTCGGGAAAACTCAAGCCGGCTGGTCAAAGGTTAAAAGACGTAAAGGACGGATAATGTAGCAGTTAAATAATATAAGCCGTTCACGGGCTTTATTTTTCTGGTGATTTAAGCTTATAGGGTTGAGCATGGTGAGGTTGCCCAAGTAATCGGTTGTAATTAAATAAATATTTACCGTACACTCTAGATGGATGGGAATACAAGGATGCTTTCACGTTAGCTTATTTTTCCGACCCAGGGGAGTATCACTGAGCTACCGGGAGCCAGTTGAATACCTCAGTAACTACGGAGGACGATGACAATTATTGTATGTGTGTCAAGGGATGTCACATTCACTTTATGGGACGGTAGCATGCGACATCTAACGTAGGAACACTTATTACAGGTATTTATGTTTTTAAATTTTATTTTATAGTGGGCGGAGTGCTAGCTAATTAGCTACCCTTCCCACTCAACCCGCTATACAATCACATACAGCCATGCCTTACCTAGGATTCGAACCCAAGAGCCTTGTAGTCAAAGTTAGAGCTACTAATAAACTTATCTGAGCTACGCAGGTCGGCGTTATAGAATTTTCTTAAAACCGGAACGACAAACGTCGTAGCGCCTATCGACGTACCACTTTCCACGCTACCGTCCGCAGCTTTCGTCGTCATCAACACGATGGACGAACTAGTGGTCACTCTCCAAAGAGTCCGAGACGACACGAACGACATTTTACAGGGCTCGTTAGTTCGGGACGGTGTTTTTGACCGTGGATTTGAAGCCCAGACAGTCTGTTGCCGGTTTCGCCGGAGTCAAAAGCACTCACCGTTTTCTTTACTTCCGACGGAGCGAACTATAAAATTCGAGCTATCCCGTTTGGATTAAGGAACGCCCCGGCGATCTTCCAGAAGTTGATGATCCAGGAGCGGTTGCTCGGATCAATGAGACGACATTGTGGTACATTAGGACCACCGGAAAGTGTACCTTGAGAACTACAATGACAGGCCACCAAATCACCGCCGATTGAAACCAGCCTACCGGAACATGTCGCAGCCCTCAGCACAATACCAGGCCTGCGTGTTGGGGTTGAGTAACTGGCTGCGCGACTACATTGTTATAATGCCCTTCTGGTTTTCCAACGTAGCCTAGGATTTACTTGGCAGCTTTCCCTCAAAGGAATCTTCCGAGCGATCCAAACAACCTTTTTGAAGATCCATTTGAACCTTTCGGCAGTGACGGAGGGCTGTGAAAATTGTGTTTCAGTCAGATAAACTAAATAAAAATTGACAGGTCTGGGCGTAACCTCCGCATCCTTTTAAATGTTATCCATATGATGCTTTTATTGTCCTTGAAGTATCTCTCAGAGCTAATCCTTTAAGAGCCTATAGCTGTTTTTAAAGATCGCCACTACTCTAAAAGGATCTTCCAGTATTTACGTATTTACGTATTTATATATTTATGTATTTATGTATTTATGCATTTATGTATTTATGTATTTATGTATTTATGTATTTATGTATTTATGTATTTATGTATTTATGTATTTATGTATTTATGTATTTATGTATTTATGTATTTATGTATTTATGTATTTATTTATTTGTTCCTCTTGTTCTCGGCAATAGACTTACGCTCATTTACAGCAGAGTAAGTCGTGTAAGTTGATCTCACTGTCTAATTTCAACTATTTTAATGACGTTGTAAGTTCTGATTTTTTCAGCTAGTACACTCATCCTATTCGGACTTCGGTGTCACTAGGTCCTAATGTTATGTCGGTGGAACTCACGGAAAGTAGCGTACGAACAACTCTATAACTAACAGAGATTCTTTCAGAGGATAAAATAAAAAGAAACAAAAATAACTAGCTCGGGCGCCATTTGTAAGGTGTGCTTGCGGTATTGCCTCCAGGGAAACTCAAGCTGGCCGGTCAGAGGTCATTAGATGTAATACTTATAAGTAGTTTAATTATTTAGGAATATACGACAATATAGGCAACGTTAGTTGCATCCGCGGTTCATGACTATGATGGCTGGTTGCGTCGTCGGGTTTGTTACATCTCTGGTTTACCATGAAAAGAGCCCTGTTTCTAAATAAAACCGGCTATCATTGTCCTGCCACACGCTCATAAAAGAATTCTACTCATACCTCAAACAACCCGGTATTAGGGAGCCAGTTGAATCCCAACGGAGGACGATGACAATTGTTGTGCTTGCATCAGGTCCACCGACCTAAAGCACAAACCCCAGAGCACTATTCACCGTGGAAACCGCAGGTTTATTTAACCTACCAGAATGGACGGATAGTACCTCAAAATTAATAGATCTGGCGAGTTGCTGGTCGGTTAGTAACCTCGGGAAAAAGTGTTTCGGTGAAATACAAATTCAGTCATTTATAAGAGACAAGGAGGAACACAAAATAGAGGGGATATAAAAAAAGTTCACTTTATGAGACATCTAACGTAGGAACACTTATTACAGGTGTTTACGTTATAGATTTTCCTTACAACAAGAACGACAAACGCCCCGATCGACGTACCACTTTCTACGCCACCGTCCGCAGCATTCGTCGTCATCAACACGACGACCGAACTAGTGGTCACTCTTCACAAAGACACCAGATCCCTTCGACTGACCAACAACCACCAAGGATTCCCAGCAGGTCTCTGGCTCCGACTACTGATCATATTCGCCTGCACCTTCATAGATGGTGGCGCACCCTCTACAATCGCTCCAACGGCCTATCACATTCGGCTTCGCTATACCACCCCATTCCGACTGCCGCCATACCGTTACTGGTAGTCATTACCATTGCCCAGAAAGTCGAAGCAAAGCTGACCAACTGAATCAAAGGGTTTAGCTCTAGTGGCAATCCTAACAAGACGGCAAACTCTCATCGACTAAAAAAAAAGGGTACCTCGAGAACTGCAACGAGGTACTTGGGCCACCAAATCACTGCTGATTCAAACCAATCTCTACCAGAACACGTCGCCCCTGACTAACTTTCATTAAAAGGAATCTTCCGAGCGATTCAAACAGCCCTTTTGAAGATCCGTTTGAGTCAGATCTATCCAAACCGAAAAGATCACCGCAGAGTATGTCGCTATGACGTCAAATACACTACTTCTGACTATATAAGGTCACATTAATAATGAGACACATATTGCTTTATAACCTTATCTGCTAGTACGGTATAAACAAACAGATATGCATAAATACGTAAAGGTCAAACCAAAACTACTTTAGTAGCAGTCGTTTATCCTTACTCTACAACCATGCTCCTCGTAACAGCCGTTCTTCTGTGCGTTAGCACTTTTGTGGCGCAAGGGGCTTCTCCTGGTAATCGAATCTTGCTCCCAATACTCTTCACCAAACGGTTCTGTTTCAGGGTATTACTGGAGAGATTTCGATGGAAGCATTCCGCCAGACGCCTACGCCGGTGGCATAGACATCAACAGCAGACCGATATACATCGCGCAAGTATACGATAGATTCTTGATTCCTGCCAAACTTTACTATAACGACAACACGGCCTACTACGAATATGGCGGTAAAGAGTACGGCGTAAAACAAAACATTAAGGTAATGGCATTGGATTGGCCTTGTATAACGGTCACCTTGCAGATCCTGTGTACGGAACATCCGGAACTCTTCGAATGGATCAGTACGAGTAACGAAGCGATCAATAGCATCACTGGCAAATACCTGGTGAAGGGCGGGTATGAACCTGGATGTACCACTTATATAGGGAGGATTAGAAAGGATGGAGAAGTGCTGGTGGGAAAGGCGCTCGCCGACAATTTACCCGTTCACGCTGGTTTATATGTGACTAAAAATCAGGCGACGCATCATAGCACAAAGTTCGAAGTGCTATCCTTTAATTTGGATACGACGAACGACATTGTTTAACGCAATTTAAGAATATCCGCAATTTCCCAACCACTCCAACTAGTACAAATTTATCTAAAATACTTCAATTACAATGTTACATCAAAGAGCATTCTCTTATACCTAACAGAATTGGACACTTTTATAGGAATATTCTCTTTTAAACTGATAATACAATTTCAAAAGCCAAAAAATGCAAAACTTTGTAATTGATTTCATAGTTAGTTTGTGCCATTAAGTCAATCTACAATAAGAATTTTTCTGATTAATTTCTATAAAATTCTCAAAAAGAACCGATCGTTATTTTTTATACAAATCAAAAAATTACTTTACCTTAATTGTGTCGTTTTTTTCAATCGATGGTTTCCCTGTGAAAATCTGTAGTTTGTTGCATTAAAAAAATAAGCAGCCCTACCCTAACGAAATTCAACTTAAAAAAATTCAAAAAAATAAAGTTCATTAAGGGGTACAGGTGGATTGAACTGCGACTTTTCTATTTTATTTTATTTTAACTGTAAGGCTTGCTTACATTGAACCCTTCTTCTTAAACCTTGAATTGTGGGTTTCTATTCTTGACCAGCCGAAACTGATTGAATCATTCTAATAATTAAATAATGTGCTTTGGGCCTTAAACCCTGATTCTTAATCACAGTTGTGCGTGTCTTGACCCATAAAATGTCAGCATTGCACCCGAGATTGCACCTTAAACCTTAGGAATTGCGTTTTGAAAACACTGAACCATAAAAATGTACCTGAAACCTTGAGTCTTGCGTTTTGATCCTCGAACTTTGAGGGTTAGACCGTTCAACCGGAACCCGGATACATGAATCGTGTAGTATGAAATCTGACGCCTTTGAACCTTTGATCTTGCGTACTTGTCTAACATTGGATTTTAAAACTTGAGACCTTAGCATTGCGCATTGACCATTAAGTTTGAGATTCCCGCTTGAGTGTGGCATCGAACGTGGAGTACTGAATCTTAAGCTTTGAGTCCCCGAAGCTTGAACCTTTATCTTCTTCTCCTGACCCTTCAGGGTTGTGTTTTGATCTTTTAGCCTTGGACCGTAAACCAAGTTTTGGGTTAAAGCTTGACATGTCTCCTTGTACTATGATACTTAAACCTGCAGAATTGATCCATGAACCTTAGGCTTTGAACTATGAGCTTTCAGCAGCGAGTTTTGAACTCTTACTCTTGAATCTCTACCTCTGGGCCGTTAAGCTTTCAGCGTTTAGTTCTAAACGAACTTCTGAGCCTTGAATTTGAAAATATTTGAATATTAATCCTTGTACTTTGAGCCATTTTCACCCTTGCGCATTAGGGTTTCGTTTAAAATACAAGAGTTTATCCAGGACACGAAAATAAGGAAGAGAGAGTGCTTAGATCAATACGAAGATGTATTTTTACCAAAAATCGACTACACCAAAATTTCTCGGGCAAACACTTTTTCTTATTAATTTGGGTGCGTAGAATCCAAATCAATTTGTACTTTTTCGATCAGACTTCTCAATCAAAAGTTATAGACTAGAAACCAATTTCGAAAGAAAATTCAAAGGGCTGTAACTTTTGAACTAGTAGCTCAATCTTGGAACTGTTTGAAATTATGGATTCTACAGCCACATTCTATAAGAAAATTCTTTCCGGGTCGATCTGAGAGATTTTTTTTTTCGGAGCTCAAAAAAAGGCAGTGTATAACCTTCCTTTTTTACCAAAAATCGACTGCACCAAAATTTGTCGGAAAAACACTTTTTCGTATTAATTTTGGTGCGTAGAATCCAAAACAATTCGTACTCTTTCGATCAGACTTCTCAATCAAAAGTTATACACTAGAAACCAATTTCGAAAGAAAATTCAAAGGGCTGTAACTTTTGAACTAGTAGCCCAATCTTGGAACTGTTTAAAATTATGGATTCTACAGGCCACATTCTATAAGAAAATTTTTTTCCGGGTCGATCTGAGACAATTTCTTTTTCGGGACTCAAAAAAATGCAGTGTATAAACCTTCCTTTTTTACCAAAAATCGACTACACCAAAATTTCTCGGGAAAACACTTTTTCTTATTAATTTGGGTGCGTAGAATCCAAATCAATTTGTACTTTTCCCATCAGACTTCTCAATCAAAAGTTATAGACTAGAAACCAATTTCGAAAAAAAATTCAAAGGGCTGTAACTTTTGAACTAGTAGCCCAATCTTGGAACTGTTTGAAATTATGGATTCTACAGGCCACATTCTATAAGAAATTTTTTTTCCGGGTCGATCTGAGACATTTTTTTGTTCGGGGCTCAAAAAAAGGCAGTGTATAACCTTCCCTTTTTACCAAAAATCGACTACACCAAATTTCTCGGGAAAACAGTTTTTCTTATTAATTTTGGTGCGTAGAATCCAAAACAATTCGTACTTTTTTGATCAGACTTCTCAATCAAAAGTTATAGACTAGGACTAGGAACCAATTTCGAAAGAAAATTCAAAGGGCTGTAACTTTTGAACTAGTACCCAATCTTGGAACTGTTTGAAATTATGGATTCTACAGGCCACATTCTATAAGAAAATTTGTTTTCCGGGTCGATCTGAGACAATTTTTTTTCGGGCCTCAAAAAAAGGCAGTGTATAACCTTCCTTTTTTACCAAAAATCGACTGCACCAAAATTTCTCGGGAAAACACTTTTTCTTATTAATATTGGTGCGTAGAATCCAAAACAATTCGTACTTTTTCGATCAGACTTCTCAATCAAAAGTTATAGACTAGAAACCAAATTCGAAAGAAAATTCAAAGGGCTGTAACTTTTGAACTAGTAGCCCAATCTTGGAACTGTTTGAAATTATGGATTTTACAGGCCACATTCTATAAGAAAATTTTTTTCCGGGTCGATCTGAGATGATTTTTTTTTCGGGGCTCAAAAAAAGGCAGTGTATAACCTTCCTTTTTTACCAAAAATCGACTGCACCATAATTTCTCGGGAAAACACTTTTTCTTATTAATTTTGGTGCGTAGAATCCAAAACAATTCGTACTTTTTCGATCAGACTTCTCAATCAAATGTTATAGACTAGGAACCAATTTCGAAAGAAAATTCAAAGGGCTGTAACTTTTGAACTAGCAGCCCAATCTTAGAACTGTTTGAAATTATGGATTCTACAGACCACATTCTATAAGAAAATTTGTTTTCCGGGTCGATCTGAGACAATTTTTCTTTCGGACCTCAAAAAAAGGCAGTGTATAACCTTCCTTTTTTACCAAAAATCTAAGATCCTTGTATGAGGCATACACCTGTCTGCTTTACAACAATAGGTTGACAGCCCATTAAGAAAGTTACTTACTTCGTGCATCACTGATATATTAGGCCCCCTCCCCTCCCCCCTGTTTCCCCCCAAGAACCGCCACACGAGCCAAAAGCTGGTCGATATTTTTCTCGACCTCTGAGGTCGCCGGTAATAATCCCGATACCCCTTGAAGGTTGATGACGAGGGCTTGAGCCCCCTCTGTTGGAACAGAACTGGGTCTCGCACTCTCTCACTCGCACTCTCTCACTGCCTCTCTGCGGAAGAACGTCCTACATAGGCTCGTCCTGATATCAGGATTTCGCCTCTGAGCGCACCATCACCTTGGTTACCTGGACGTGCCTCTGCACTTTGAGAGGCGCGCCATGCCAGAGCCTAATAAGAGGAACGGTCATCTCCAGCCAGTCCAAGATCCATTGGTCCTCGCATTCGACCACAATATGGCACCCTGCGGATTCCAGCGGTACTCTGCCAGGCGACAGAAAGCAACATTAGATGCTCCAGAACCTCTGGGATTCTTCTCAACCTGCCCTGAGTCAGACCCTGGAGCGCTTCCCTCCTATCTGAGGCGCATGGTTCCTGACGTCGGATTGCGCCCCTGAACCAGCGACTCAAATCTAAAAGGAAAATGAACGCTATTTGTCAGCACTTTGTCCGTTTATTCGTCTGTACCACTACTAGTCCTCCAGTTTAAGCTTTTTCGTTGTGGTTTTCTTTTAATACGGTGTGGCAGAGCCCCGAGACTAAAACGACAACAGATTTTTTGAATTAGTCACTTTCTTCAAAAGGGTTTCTCACACCTCCTCCGAGTCCGACACTAATTAAGCGGACTGGGGTTCCGGCTACCCTAAGTACTTACACGTTGCAATAAAGTATCCTTTGTCACCTTTTGACGAGTCACGGATCACGGTCGAGTCCGATTGCTCGCATTAATTTTACTCCTGGATTCCTGGCAATCGACCTTTTACCAGAAAAGCCTGGAATCAGAAGATGATGCCTACCACGTACGCCTAAGGAGTGAAAGGGTACCTTGCGGATTTCAGCGGAATCCTGCCAGCCGAGGTAAAGTCCCCTTCCCCCCCATTCATCTGGTCAACAATTGCACTCAATGCAGACATTTGTAGTGCACCCGTAACCGTTGGTGCCCCAGAACCGTTGGGCAAGAAGCCCAGAAGAACTCCGGCTGCCTTGATGAGTCAGACTCTGGAGTACTTTCCTCCGATCTGACACGCTTGGTTGGGGTTCTCCCCTGAGCCAACGCTCCAGGTAAAGCACAAAACACTGGGCGGAGGGCCCGCTATATCTTCTGGCCGCCGCTTTCTGGCCATAGTCTTCTGTGTGCCAGTCCTATTCGAATAGGTGGTCTACCACCAGGTCCTTGACTAAGGCACTGCGTCGGAGCTGTCCTCTTCTTCCAGACTCCTTCTTAGGACCCGGCTTGTGGAAGTGCGGAAATGCGTTCTCACCTGGGCACAGCCGCTTGCGCAGGGATCAGTGCCAGCACCTCTACCGGAGGGAAAGGAGCGTCGCTCGGTATCCGAAAGACACCGTTATCGACTCTTGTGACTCGAGCCCGAATTTTTTTCAATGCCCGAACTCTACGACGAACAAAGATAAAATCTCCCCAAAACTCTCCTCTGAATTAATCCCTACCTATCTTTTTTGATTAATTGCCGCCTCAAAAATGGCGCTGAGCTATTAAATTAGCCATATTTAATGACGTACTAATCCCATGCGTTTCTGCCCCACGAATTATAAGACATCAACTAGAGGGTAATAACTCAAAATTCCACGCACGTTTAATTTCACCTTTAATGAAATGAGGTTCATCGGGAAGTTATAGGTACATATTCAAGATTATTTCTGATAACTGATCATTGACTCGTGTTTCTATAGATAAATAACTGTGCACGAAACCATGGGAAAAACTCATATTATCTTGGCAATGAGGTTTAGTACCTACGAGACCCGGTGAAGAAGTCGTCGATGTAGATTATGTTCGGCTCAAGATGAGTGCCAGTTCAAAAATGCAGTTGGTAGGATCAAATAAATAATAATTGTACTGATTATTTACATGAACCGAACCTTTACCTTTTCAAAGTATATAGAGGGTGAACTTATACGAGTATAAGTGACTGCTAGAACACGCGTCTATTCTAAAATCTATTTATAAGCTTAGGTTCGGCACCATTCTACGGATCTAAAAATAAGGTCGTATTTTTACAAGTAACAGGAAAATAGTTCCTTAACACGCTCTACAATGAAACTATACTACACAGTTATTAGTGCCGCTTTATTATTTGTTATCTGCAATTTGCCGCAAGTTTCTAAATGTATGACGCAGGGAGATCTGTAAGTTTCGCATTGATAACGACAGCCTGTTTGTATTAACCCCTTTTCAGAATATCGCAATGGGCGGATAAGTTAGGTGAACAGCTTTGGAATCTGGGTACAGTGGTAACTAAAAGACTTGACATTGAAAATGTAAGTAAAACACTGATAGTATGAATGGATTGGTGACATTTGGTTCACTTCAGAGCTACGCATTTGTAAATCCCGAAACGAAGGATCCAGAAAAGATTATAAATGATATCGTTAAAAATGTTTCTGCTATGATGATGAAGAAAAGGAAAGCAGTGGTTGTATGTATTGGCATAGATATAGCTATTTAAGAAAAATGTTCTCATTAGCATACTTTGCAGTGCATTTTAAAAAAAGCCGAAATGGCAGCAGCTGAATTTGAATTGAATGATACCGATCGCAATTATACGTACTACAGATCAAATCCCCCTATCAAAGATGATCAGAATGATGATGATGAGGATCATTCTGATCCTGATATAGACATGTACAGGCGTATGGACTTGGATAACGACACTCATTTTTTCAATATTCCTGTCAATACAGCACACAGTTCTGTACACGTTCCTACCAACATTTATCATAGACGTAAGTTCTTCTCGGCAACCGACCATAATACCAGTGCCAACTCTTTTTTCAGACGATGAAGCTGAAACAGCCATCAAATGGTCATCAGTTTTGGACGAAGTTTTTATACAAAATTACCGTGCCGATCCTGCCCTTACCTGGCAGTATTTTGGCAGCTCATCGGGGATTATGCGGCACTATCCAGGTATAAACAAACCTCGTTGTAAATCTATAACTGAATCATTTTAGCCATGAATTGGACAATATCAGATAAGGGTTTATTTGATTGTAGAATAAGAACGTGGTTTATTGAGGCAGCAACTTGCACGAAGGATGTTGTAATACTGTTGGATAACTCTGGATCTATGCAAGGTGAATTAATTAGCCATTAGTGGCGAAACTTAGTTTATCGCTGTTTCGTCTTCAGGTTGGAGCAAGCACATATCATTTTTGATAGTGAATACGATTTTGCAAACTCTTTCAAATAACGATTATATAAACGTAATGAATTATTCCGAAACGGTTGACTATTTAATACCCTGCTTTGGAGGTAAACTCGTTCAAGCTACTGAAGAAAATATTAAAGTCATTTTGGATGCCCTACCTTATTTGGAACCAATTAATAAGTCTAACGTAGACTTGGCTTTAGTTGGTGCGTTTGGTTTATTGCAACATGTAAGCTATAACCATAACTTGAACAGACAGGAAATGGTGATGTGCCTTATTGCTTTCAGTACAGAGAAATTCGTAACTGCAGTGCAAACCAGCGTATGTGCAACCAAGCCATTATGTTAATATCGGATGGCATTCCGAGCAACTTAAGTGAGATTATCCAGGAATATAATAGACTAGGAAACGACAGTATACCAATAAGAATTTTCACCTATTTAGTAGGGAAAGAACCGGCACATCTAGAAGAGTCTATGTGGATAGCCTGTAATAATAGAGGTAAGTATTTATTTATAATTTTTTTTTAATTATTACTGTTAGTTTCTTGCAAAATTGTGCAGACGACTAGCGATATCCCTTCATCCCAAAAATTGGAAGTACTAGTTGATCCAATAAGTTAAAACAATCACATCACCAATTTCCTCTATTTAACAATTCTGCACACAATGTTTAAAACTTCGCTATTGTTCGTATTTACCGTAATAGTTTCAAAGTCGTAAATTATCCTGTGTAAGTGAGGCTCACCAAAAAACTTTAATTCGCGCTTTTATAACCTTTACGCCCGTACTTAACGCAAGCGCACTTTGTCTCACTTGTAGGAGCAAATTTTCTTTTTACAAATAAAACACACCCCATGGTAATTTACAGGTGATTCGCGGCTCAACGCGTATTCGAATAGCACAAAATAAAGTCCACCCTGCGGAAATGGAGGTCTTGTAACAAAATTACTTTTTTTATGGACATCAATTCCGATAACTACTATTACAAAGTAAACAAAATCTGAACCAATCGCGCCATATCCCGCGACTAACCGGCGCTTAAGTTTTCAATATCCAGGGTCGTATTTCGAGACCATTCGCCCACGTAACACAATGGAAAAAATTCAGAATTTGTGCCATTACCGCGGCCACTACTATATCGTCTAAAAATTGTCGCAATGATAAATCGTAATCTGTAAAAAATATAGAAGTCAAAATGTTGTCATTCCACAAACACCTATTTCCCCTCCAAATTCCAGCGCTAAGGTTGCGGGCTACTTGTTGTCTCCTATGACACACAGTGTCCTCTGCGGTAGAGTTGTTCTTTCTCGTCCTTACACGGATAAAAGTCAGAAAAAGGCACCACGAAATATAAATCTTAAAAAAATCGAATCAAAGAAACACATTAATAGGCCCCCGTTACAGAGTAGATTAATAAATAGTAGCCAAATTCTGTATTTCAGCATTTTTACGCTCATTGAAAAATTGTAATTTGTTTTTTATTTAGTACCTACAATAAAAGTAATTGACGGAGTTTAAGGAAGTTAGGTATTGTACCACAAATTAATTTGTCTGTGGTTAGGTATTGTAACGGCTTAGTTACATTTACAAAGGCCGAAGACCTCACTTGCATATAATAAAGTTGCATCTTCTACGGCACTGGAAAAAATTTTAAAATGACAATTAATGGCTAAACCTGCATTTTTGTCTCGTGCTCGGCTTTAAACAGAACGGAACGAAAGTCAGGTTCATATAGAGATCGTGGCAACCGCGCTTGCTTTCCACAATACGGTTTTTGTCATCGCTTCTTATTGCCAGACATACTTTTGTTCATGTTCCCTATGAAGCGATATCTGTGAAAATTTTCCTATGATTAACAAATTATAAACCCAGTTTTTGAAACGGTAAAGTGGCAACCTATAGCTTTGTGAATACCTATCACATATCTTTGGATCTTGATCCTAACTCGTGCCTCAGCTTTACTCATCAGGTCAAAAAAATCATTAACCGCCGTTCACCGATTACTTACCTAGAAAGCTACTACGATATTATATTACCATATGCTATGTATACAGAGTGGCCCAACGAGAAGTATACAGAGGGCTTTTAGGGTATTAAATTTAGCAATTTCGAAAAATCCTCAAACACGTCAATTTTGTGTTTGAGGGGGACAACTTTTGGAATACAAATCACGACCCCAAGTCTTCACCCCTCTACGTAGGGAGCTTAACCCTTAAAATTTTAAATGGAATCCTATGGCAAATGGCACATTATTTGAAAGCCAATTTAATCATGATTACTAATCTGCTTTGCTTTTTAAATTCTATTGATTCATTTCGGAAATATTCGCATTTGAAATGATTTTCTTCTAAAAAAACCAAAACAAATGCGATCTAAGTCACCTTGTATTAAAATTTTATTTTGACGCTTCAATTTGTTTGTTAAACTTAAGTGAACCTGTCAGTTCCACACATTTGTAGGGTAGAAAAAACCACCGTATACCTATATATTTTAATCGATAAAGATAGAATATAAAATTCTCTTTTGAAAAATTTAGCATACCAAGAATACATTCAAAATATTCAAATGATTAAAAATATTCAAAAAAGATTCATAGGGACTTAAAAAGCTTAATAAAAGGTTCAAATGATTCAAAAAATTTCAAAAGATTGTTGCATTTTTTAAATGTTTCGCTCTTTTAAATCTTTTTGAATCAATATTTAACTTTTTTCGTGTTATGTTTTGAAAAGAGAATTTTAGATAGTATACATTTAAAGAAATAAGATATAGCGTCATTCTGAGATTGACAATTTTTTGATTTTCCCCCGTATCTCAAGCGAGCGAATATTTTTCAAATTTTGATTTCACCAAAAAGCGGTTTTTTAATTGCTACAAATGTCTTTTTAGGGTACCATTGCCATGTAGATGCTTTAGAGCAAGTGACTCAAGCTGTTTACAAGTACGTAATGGTGTTAGCTCGACCTTTGGTATTACAAGCGGAGAAGAATCCGCTGTCTTGGACGCATGCATATGTGGATGAAACGGTAAGCTGGATGTACTCCAATTCTGAAGTTATAAATTTTTAACTTTTAGTTTTCAATGGGCAATGAAAACTTTGAGCAATACCGGTTGCTGACATCAGTCGCTGGGCCGGCGTTTAATAAAAAAGTTAACAATACAAGTAAGAAAAAGGCGGAATTGCTTGGTGTTGCTGGGACGGACGTGCCGATTGGAGACATTGCAAAATTAATGTTCCCTTATAAAGTGAGTTATCCGGTTAGCGTGTAGTAATATTTAAATAAAGATTATAGACTGGAGCCAATTCGCATTCGTTTATCGTTAGTAACAATGGATACGTCTTGAAACATCCGGGTTTAAGTCCAATGGTAACAAATAATGACTCTTTCAGTACTTTAGGTTTATCCAAAATCCCTGTTGTAGTTTGATGGCGAATTAACCGTTAATTATAATAGTATCGATTTGACCGAAGTGGAACAGTTGGACGACGGTGCTGGACCTCGTGTGATCGGAAGTGAATTGGCAGAATTAAGATCAGCGATGGTAAAAGGGGAAAAGGGAGTTTTGCACGACTTAAAAATCAAGTTCCACTACGACAACATGAGAAGGGTGTCGAGAGAAGTAAACGATTACTATTATGCCCCTATTAATGGCACTCCATTTTCAATTGGATTTGCGATCCCTGATTTATATGGAAATTATTCCATTGAAGTGGAAGACAAGCTGGAAACGTACAAGCACAGTTTTGTAAATATTACATCGTTTTTCAATGGGACAAATTGGAAAATACATCCAAAATGGTAGGGTACTCTTAAATTCGTTAGTTCTATTTTCATTTCACGGGTAAATACCTATATTTTCTATTACTATAATTCGTTTTGAAGTGAGCTCTTTTAAATGTTTGAAAATTGCCTGGTAACGACAACCCGCAACTCGAACACTTGAGCTCCTTGAAGGATACGTTTGCTTGACATTATTGGTATTAACCAATAACGAGCAAACGAGCTCCTGAGCATGCGCAAAACCAAATTTTGAAACTGGGATTAGATTTGCTTTTATGCTGACTATAGATCAAATTTCATTTAAATGCTCTCATGAATAAGAAAGTTGCCATTGCGCATGCCTAAAACCAAATTTGGAAACTGACGTTAGATTTTCTTTTATTCCAAGTACCTATGTATCAAATTTTATTTAAATGCTTTAATAAATAAGAGAGTGAGCACTGTGCATGCGCAAAACCAAATTTTGAAACTGGTGTTAGTTTTACTTATATTCTTAGTCTTATTTAAATACCTTCATAAATAACAGAGTTTGCAATTCGGTTCATAAATGGTCGGGATACAAAAGGGCACTGTGAATGTTGAATCGATTAGACTCAACTTCTGGCATTGCGTATTACATGGCTAGAACTATGCCTCCTGCAATTCGTTTCATGGCTAATGGATGTCCTTATCTTTTTAGCCTACATTGCCAATTCACAAACTCCGATCTCCAAAATCCATCTGCAAAATTTCATCGTAATCGATTCATTCGTTTTCGAGATATCGTGGTAACGGGCCGACGGACGGACGGACACAGCAAAATTATAAACATGCTTTATACCTTACCACTACCGAGCCGATCGCAAACCACTAGTAATTCACTTTCACGAACTGTGGCGTTCGGATATTAAATCTACTTTCGCTTCCCCATCCTAGCCACTTGGAAACCAGCATCCTATATAAGTGTTTTCAACACTAAAGTTTTTTCTTTTTGTTCGGATAGAATTGACACTTTAGAGGACCAATACAGGGACACAAGCTGCTCCACATGCGAATTGACAATGCTGTTTCCGTTGAGATAATTATTAACGTCAGTTCCGAGAAACATGAAAATTTAGTTTATAGATAACCACTTTTAAAGTGCAATTATCGTTTCTAGTACCAGTGGTCAAACGAGGTGCTTCTTTTTTTCGAGTCTTTGGTTTCTGCCACCCATATGGTCCACCGCAGAAGTCTCTTTCTTATGATGCTCGCTGTTGATGTTTATGACCTTTTGAAAGGTCTGAGATTGAATCGTATCAATTGTCTACATGGTTTATTGCTATTCTGAATACAAAGATGTGGTTACCTGTTCTATACAGGAAACTAACTAACCCCGAAGTATTGACTAGGTTGGTCCAAATAATTGATCCGAATGATTCAAAGGGCAGTCTATACAAAATCCTAGGTCTCGTATAATGAATGGCTTCTTTGATTTAAATTTGAAACACGTTGCTCAAAAATTAGGTAATCCGACGGTAAGCCAATCAATTCATTAACTCCACGTGGAGCAGAGCTGGGCAGAATACTTTCAAAAAGTATTTGAATACTAAATAGTAAATTGTAAATACTTTACACAAATCAAAGGTATTTGAATACTAATTACTTTTACGTCCAGCACAAGCGAATACTAGATACAGATACATTGAAAAGTATTCACATACTTTAAAAAATAAGTATTCACATACTTTAGAATGTATTCGAATACTTTCAAAAGTATTCTAATACTATCAAAGGTATTCGATTACTTTGAAAAGTATTCGAATACAGTAAAAAGTATTCAAATACTTGTCACTCAAATACATTAAAAATATAAAATAGTATACTAGATAAAAGTCTTAATACTACTTTAAAAAATCAAGCTATACTTTGTATGGGGTTAGCTTTTTTTTATATTTCTATTGTTATATACAAATTTAAGGGGAGTAAAAGGACCTTTCTTATACCAGTTATATCCTTAAGAATACGTGTACCAGTTTTCAAAGCGATCGTACGTCGTGCACATAATACGTCCGCCTTTCTGAAATTAATCCTAGCGATTTTGGAACAGATCCATTTTTGACCATCCGTTTGTCCGTGTGCATGATAGTTTGTTTAGAAACGTACGATCGCTTTGAAAATTGGTACACATGGTCTTAAGGATATAAGAAAGGTCCCTATTGTTTTTAAGTTACGTAGACTATCGAGTTTGGTGTACCTATCGGATTTTTATATTTGATTTTGTGACAATGGAAACTTTCGCTAAACATTTCTAAATTGTTCTCAAATATTTGAATAACTTAAAAGTACTGCGTTTTTTTGAGGCTGGAAGAAAATTGCCTCAGATCGATCCGGAAAAAAAATTTCTTATAGAATGTGGCCTGTAGAATCCATAATTTCAAACAGTTCCAAGATTGGGCTACTAGTTCAAAAGTTACAGCCCTTTGAATTTTCTTTCGAAATTGATTTCTAGTCCATAACTTTTGATTGAGAAGTCTAATCGAAAAAGTACGAGTTGTTTTGGATTCTACGCACCAAAATTAATAAGAAAAAGTGTTTTCCCGAGAAATTTTGGTGCAGTCGATTTTTGGTAAAAAAGGGAAGGTTATACACTGCTTTTTTTGAGGCCCGAAAAGAAAATTGTCTCAGATCGACCCGGAAAAAAAATTTTCTTATAGAATGTGGCCTGTAGAATCCACCATTTCAAACAGTTCCAAGATTGGGCTATACTAGATCAAAAGTGTTTTCGCGAGAAATTTTGGAGTAGTCGATTTTGGTAAAAAAAGGAAGGTTAAGTATTCAAATACTATGCGAAGTATTCGAATACTTTTCAAAGTATCCAAATACTTTGCGCAGTATTCGAATACTAAATATTTGTGAAAGTATTTGAGTTACAAATACAAATACTGCTTCCATAAAAGTATTTAATTACAAGGTATTTGAATACTTTAAAGGGATTGAATACTAAAAAGTATTTACAAAATCGAATACTGCCCAGCTCTGACGTGGAGTAGGTAATTTTAATATAGCAAATCCCACGTGACATATCAACCTCGCAAACGACGACTGCGAAATAAACAAAAACCCCCTCTAATTTGTACTAACCACGCCATATCTCACGACTCACCAGCTCCCCAAGCTTTTAAACGCATTTATAAAGTCAGACCCGGATTTCAGGGCTATTTGCCCACGTGACACAACCAAAAAATTTTAGAAATCCTGTCAAATAATGAAACCACTCTCTATAATCTATATCTTGCATGACCCAATTGAAAAACTGGGCAATTCCAAAAAACTTCAACTCCACACCCTAAACTGGAAGAGCCTCTGTTTGACCTAACTTCAACTACCAATCTAATAAAATAATTGCCCTCGCCCATGTGATAGATACCCAGGCAAGAAGTGCTGAACTTAAAACGGGCACAGAAACTACGCTGCTGTTATTGCTGCGAAGTCACATGGTTTTAAGAACCAACAGAGGAAACCTAAAACCCATAAGCACATGAAATTAAAATTCATACTTAATCTATCCTGCACCATCTGCATCTTTAAACTGCTACTACATCGTGTACAGTGCCAGGATCTTCACCATTTCCTGGTGGCCTTCTACACAAATACCCTTACAAATCGTCTCTTCGCAACACGGTTTAAAGAGAAGGAGAGTAGTCCTCTCGCTCGCCCCCTGACACTACCATGTTTAGGACGGCTAATGTCAAAAATCGTCACAAAGTCATAATCAATAAAAAATAAAAGTCAAAATCGTGTCCACCAACGCCTTTCGACCTCCAAAGTACAGCGCTAGGCTGACTTGCTATTGTTTAGTCGCCTTCTACGACACGCAGTTCCGTCTGCGATATGGTTATTCTTTCCCGATCCTTCACGGAGATACAACTTTTGGCATTTTCCGAAAGAATAGTTATACTTCAATTACGTTTACACAAGCTCATAAGTACACCATATTTTTGTTTGTTTTGCATTATGTAAGTGCAGATACGTACAGGTCGTTCGTAAAAGTTCAAATATTTTAGTAACAAAAAAGAGCTATCGAAAAAGTTTCAAATAAAAGTTGCAAGATTCGATGGGATAAATACAATAGACGTAGAAAAAAATTTTTCAAAATGGCGGTTTTTGAGAAATTGGCATCAACTTCCTGATTTTAAATGGACGCCATATTTAATTTGTATGTCATTCGATAGAGAAAAAAATTACAAAACCAGTGATACCAAACACTTAGTATTTCATTTGGGAATCAACCTTGCATTTTGCCTTGAAGTTTACAATGTATTTCTTATGGCAATAATTCCATGGCCGTGTCGATGGTGACTATGCGAGACAATAAACGAATGGATTTGGTTTCACAATCAGCCATGGCGTCGATTAAGAAGTTGATGTGAATATCTCGAAAATCGCCATTTTGCAATTTTTTTTTCTACGTCCATTGAATTTATCCCATTGAATCTTGCAACTATTTATTTGAAACTTTCTTCGATAGCTCTCTTTGTTACTAAAATATTGACCTTTTTAAAAATGACGATTTTCACTTTTTGCCAATGATCTACGAAACGATTGATTTTTTTCAAAATTTCGCATCAGAATATTTATCAGCATCAAAAACGACACAACTTTGCCAATTTAACCGAATTTGTAAGTATAACAATAACATAGATAATCATCCTACTCAATTTAAAACACCCTGTATCCTCGTTGATTGTTTATATAAAGACTTTAGTAGTACAGTATGACTGTATTAATTGTGAATATTCTAGAAATCCAGATAAACATGGAGGCCGAAAGCGGATGTGACGCATCCTTTCCGGGAAATACGATATGTTTTGTTCGAGAATATTCGGTTAATCGATCCGCACAAAATTGGATATTTCCCAATACATTTAAAATTTTTCGGGATCCCGCAAATACCGGGATCTCTCGGGATTAACATAAACGACCCCGCAAAAACCGGGATCGAGATTTTGCCGCGGGATTGCATTCCCTAATTATTCACGCGTGAATTCCATCGACCCGTCTGGGGGTATTAGATCTCAAAACCGAGACCTCAGAGGGCAGCGGTTTTGTATAAGTATAAGAAAAATGAGCTAGAAACACCTTCAGTAGGCAAACTTTAAAAATTGGGTTTGACCAACTTGAATCATCAAAAACTATGATGAGCAAATTCTCAAATGCCTACCCTACTAGTTTTCGGTGTTCTCCGTAATTTCTAATTTCAGAATGTATCTTATCACTTGTGCGAAAAAGATGGAAAGATAACAAATATGCTTGTATTTTAGGGTCTATTGCAAGTATCACTACCTGGAAGGTCACGAATATGAAACGCCCGAAAAAGAGTTACTCCACTTTCTGAGTAAAATCAACCAGGACGACTTTAAGTGGACGATGCAATACGAAGAGGAGGAGGAGGAGGAAGTCGACGAGAACATCAATTTGGAAGATCTGAGCGACGAAGATTGCGGCGCCAAGACGCTCGAGGATGATGCGTACTACTGCGACAAAAATTTAGTGCAGCATCTAGTTTTTGACGCCAACATAACAAAATTAGCTTTTGAAGAACCGTGGACACATCGTACCGAAGAAGAGTACCAGTTAGTCAAGCTTTATAATGCGACGCTTAGATTTGTGTCAACCATGAGTGGATTCACTCGATGGGAGTATATTGGGGACGTTCATCCGAAATATCCGTAAGTACATACTTTAGGTACCTCTTTTCAATTTGCATGGCTCTCACTTTTTTCTTATTCTTTTTCATTTATCTCCCAGAGATCGGACTATAGGTATAGTCTTGTACCTTCTGTTATCATTTTGAATGTTTTCCCTTGATATTATTGTTTTTCTTTGGCCCTATTGGTTCTGCAGGGATTTTGTCAACGACTTGAATTCGATAGTGAGCATTGTTTCTGGTTATTTGAATTCCGTGACATCCACAGAAAAAAGTGAGACTATATGGCGGTATGGCTTTTGATCCATCTGCTTCTCCAAGTTTAAAGTTTTTACACCCTCATTAATGTCAAATGATTTAATTGTTTTTGATCAGTTTACTAGTTAGGTTTTTTCCAGAACTTTTGGAGATTTATACCCACGGGCCATTGATGAACGATTTTATAAAACCGCAGTCATAGAACATAGATATAATAACTACTCGTTTGTTTATTCAACGCCGCTTGAGCAAAAATATGACGTAAACTTATTAATCACAGGAAGCCATGCAATATTCCTTACTCAAGATGATAAAGAGGCGCCAGGTGCGGTAGTGGGATACCAATTCTCCCACTCACATCTAAGACAACAGTTTTCCAAAATTGTATCATCGCCATCACCTGCGGTAAAGTATCCCTGATGTAATCTTAACAACCCCTGTAATGTAGACCTAATGTTACAGTGCCGAAATTGCCTTAAGTGCGAGGATGAATTAGATTGCTACATTATTGACCATTCTGGGTACATTGTTGTCGCGAAGGAAGAATACCTTACAGGGCGATTTTTTGGTATTACAGAAGGAGTTACAATGGAAGCCATGGTGCGATTGGAAGTTTTTGAGATAATTACCGTTCGCAACTATCAAGCAATCTGTTATTACCCACAGTGGATCAAAGGCAGTAGCAATGTCTTAACCACGGTAAATTTTGTTGACAAAATCACTACCTACTTACTCATTTGACATGTGTTATAGCCACTTCGTTATTTCATTTGGAGTGTGCAGTGGATTTTAGGGCAAATAGCATGGATAAGTTTTAAAATAAACATACCTTTCCTTTGGGATGCGAAGTTTCTACAAATAAGCGCTCAAGATACTTCCTGTAAGTATATACCTATATTATGGGTTTGCAGGCGGCGTGCGCTCTTTATGAATTTCTGCTTAAATAGGGCGGGAATTCGAGGATATGACTGGAATACTTACATGGTTTATTCCTTGGAGTCCATTATTTATTATGTGCACTGTTAAAAAAATCCATTGCGCATGCGCAGCCCCAATTTTTTTATTTATGGGCGGATTTTTTTACCTTTCAAGCGAAAGTGCAACGTAAAAAATGAATTAAAGACATAGACTGTCCAGCCGCGAACTAAAATACGCATGCGCTGACTTTCTTATTTGTGACCCAATTCTTTCAAAATGTCAGCAGAATATGGTTCCCAAAAAATTGAAATTATGTGCCAAAAAATGACTAGTATGCGCAGACATTGACATTCTGAAATGTAACCAAAGATACCTTTTATAAAAGCGAATTAAACACACACACCAAAAAAGTGGATTGTGCATGCGCAGACCCAATTTTTTATTTATGGCCGAATTTTTGTGAAATGTTACAAATAACGCGTATTAAAAACCATTAAAAAAACTCATTTCTTATTTGTGGCCCTATTCTTCCGAAGTTTCAGCAGAAAATGCTTGCTATTGAACTCACGTGTCACGCGCAGGGACATGAGGACGGCTTTTTTTAATTTTAACTGAAAATGCTTCTATAAAATCAAATTGAAAACACACGTTCAAAAAAGGATTGTGTATGCGCAGAGCCAACTTTCTTAGTTGCAGGTGGATTTTTCCGAAATGTTTACGAAAGGTGCTTTTCAAATTGCGGTTTGTGATCATTTTGGTTAAACGGTTGAAAACGAATTTGGCTGGAGTAACTAATTTTCTTGTCTCGCCTCCTGAATTCCCCCTTCCCCGATTCTGCAATATCTATCAAAAATGTGAAATAAGAATAAATCTTACAATGTTTTCAGCACCGCCTCCCCCAAAACCAACTGCTAAAAAATGTCTTAAAAACTGCAAACAGGAAGAAGAAGATTGGCACGCGCAAAATAAGATTCCAGTTCATGAAACACGCCGTACTGCATGCGAATTAGAACGGCATTTATACGCCTTCAATCCGAAAATGTTTAAAACCAGCAATCCTTTTCCAGAAGAGCTCAGGATAGATGACTGCAAAAGGTTTCGGAAGCCACTTGTTTTAATCAATACCCAGTATTTCATTATTTGCAGGCCGTTTTACTTGAAACAAATCCCCCACACCAATTTACTACTTATCGCCATAAATACCGCTGTAGAAGAAACTTGTTACTTCATGCACAGTAATGCGGTTCAAGACATTGTTTACGAGAACGACACTACATTTCCATGCCAAAAATTGTATTTAAACAATTTACCTCGCAGTCCACTCACGGGTTGTTATAATGAACACCCACTTGTATGTTTTTATACGAAACATACTATAATACTAACGGATTATTTGCAGGAAAGCGAAATCGACGACTGTGGAAGAACGGGAAGGATTCAATTTTACACAAAGTTGTTAATTATAAGCGCACTATTATTCATCATCCAAAGACATTTTTATTAAACTAATTCTAGAAGTTTTTGTAATGATGTTGGAACGTAGGTCCATGAGCAGTTATTCTATTGATATCGACACATGCGGCTTCAATCGACGAAGTTAAAGGTGGAGGCCCACAACTGAATACCCCAACAGTATTCGCCTACAAGCAAATCATTAAACCTAATTCTAACCTAAATACCTACATACATTCTGATGTAGCGATTGTAAACTTTTGAAGAACTTCCTGAAATCGGGCCGACCAAAGTGTGTAACTGCCTTCAAGTTAGTAAAAAGTGACTTATCAGATAACTTCTGATAATGTCTTTCGCAAATGTACAATAAAATCGTTCTCAAATCAAACTTTTGATAAAATTGCGTAATAAAGATGTGACTGCTAACAATTTGATTTTCGTCTACTTTCTCCAGATCCCTCAAAATATCTACCAACCACTCAAACTGCTTCTGCGTTCTCGAAACCCATATGAAGTACACCTAAAATCAAACTTGCACTAAATTCATATTAGATCAAAGGCGGTCGTACTTTTTTGCAGTGCGCTTTGTGCTTAATGTTTGCTCGAAACACGATGTCCTTTAAAATACTGGCAAATGGCGTTACGCCGATTCCACCTCCAATCAAGACTGAAACCTCAAACCGATACCAGTTTTGATGACTTTCCCCATAAGGTCCATCCAAGTGAATCTAGAATTATAAGACCATAGACAATTGTTGATCGTTTCATCATGGTCCAGCTTGAGAAAGCTATATATAAAATTGTGTGCATATTTTTACATATCATTCCCTTTTATTTTGCATCCGAATACGGATACGAACCGGGGGTCTCCTTGTTTCTAGTCGCTATAATAAACTTGCATTTACGCAGAAATAAACCGCAAGGTAAGTATACGCTACATCGAAATCACGATTACTCTGGAGCGATGTAAATAAATGAAGCTACGTTTAATCTTGGCTATTTATAGACTCCTCCGGCGGCGCTTTTCGAATTGCGCCCGCTTAGTAAGAATTGATATGCCGACAATTGTTCTACTAAGGCTCATTGCATCCTACATATATCGTAGATATATAATTGTGAAATATGGCTTGCTGGGATCTTGAAAAACCGACTCGAACTGTATAAAAATTAACATCATTAAATAAATAGTTCTAATGAAAATCCGGGACTTCGAAATCAACCAATATGGGCGCGATTTGTGTCTGATTGGTGCTGATATTAAATAAAACGTCCGCAATTATTTATTTTTGGTCTTTATTTTTAAGTGGATTCATGGTTTAGTTTTGTTACGTGTTAAAAGATGAATCATTTGGAACTATTTGCGTAGTTTTTATAAAAGTGTCCTCTCAGATCGTTGCGATAAGCCTTGTTTTTCGCTGCATAAAAGCTAATTAGTTTCAAGACAAAGACGTGTTATCACTGAAGTTTTTAACTCATCTAATATAGACGCCTGCGCAGGCAAGTTTTAAAATTCCCGCCAAGTTGAAAAAGTTCTGCTTGCAACAGAAAGTAAGTAAAATGTACAGAAAGCAGCTAGGAAAGGTCCAGCGACTCGCCTGTCTGGGAGTCACTGGAGCCCTAAAAACCACGCCAACCTTGGCCATGGAGGCACTTCTGGGACTAGAGCCTTTACACTTAGCTGTGGAGGCAGAGGCTCGGAAAGCTTCCATACGGCTAAACGATTGGGATGAATGGAAGGATCGAGGCAGTCTTGGGCACGGGCGGATCTGGGAGGAAACCCTCAGGACCGATCCCCTCCTCGCAAGGAGGGGCGTGATCGGGGCTATCTTGCTAAGACCAAAGCGTTATAAAGTCATTCTCCCGGATAGGGAGCAGTGGCTGAACTCGGATTGCCCGTTCCTCAAACCTGAGGGGCTCGTGTGGTTTACAGACGGGTCCCAAACAGAAAGGGGAACGGGCATGGGTATATATGGTAATCGACCGAGAGCCAGCGTCAGCGTCTCCCTTGGTCAGCATAGCACCGTGTTTCAGGCAGAGATGTTAGCCATCATGACCTGTGCACAGGAAAACCTCCGTAGAGGTTACCGTAATAAGCATATATACATATGCAGCGATAGTCAGGCGGCGTTGAGGGCCCTGTCGGTAGACAGGTTCCGATCAGCTACGGCGCTTGATTGCAGGCGAACCCTAGATAGATTAGGTGAGTCTAATAGGGTAAGCTTGATTTGGGTGCCAGCGCACTGCGGAATAGGGGGCAACGAAAGGGCGGACGAGTTGGCTCGCGAAGGCAGTGGTGGGGTCTTCGTCGGGCCCGAGCCTACCCTAGGGATTGCTCCCTCCGTTGTTAGGGCCAGGATTAAAGATTGGTTGACCAGTCAATTCCAGGCTCAGTGGCAACAAGTAACCGGACTCTGACAGTCCAAGGCCTTTCTAACAGGGCCCGTTGGCAAATCGGGGTCTTCTAAGCTTCTAAAACTGAATAGAAGCCAGCTTAGGAAGATCACTGGTGTCCTTACGGGACACTGGATGGTCAACTATCACCTGCATAACATTGGGCTCGCGGAGGAGTCAACGTGCAGGTTCTGTGGCGAGGCAGATGAAACTACCGAGCATGTGGTCTGTCACTGTGACGCTTTGATCAGGGACAGATATCAACTCCTTGGAGACAGATACCTGGAACCGAGGAGGGTGAAGCAACTTAGGCTAAACAGGGTCCTATCCTTCATTGAGAGGAAGGGCTCTGAACTCAGTTGCGAAGAAAGGGGGTAGGCACAATGGGCCTCTGGTGTGCCTAAGTGCTGCCCGGTCGGGCTCCCCTGCGAATAGAATAGAAGTAAAATGTAAATATAAATGTATAGTGGGTTGGATTGGTAGAGCAGCCTTGGTTGAAACCCCGCCCACTCAAAAATAGAGGCAAACATAAAATAAGTACCTTGCGCTTAAAGGCAAGGAAAATGTAAAAGAGGCACTAGAGAGGTGGCGACTACGCGATGATAAAGAGGCGTGAACTGGACATAAAAAGAGATCTGTTAGGGGTACGGTTGAAAGCGGCTTACAATAGAGAAGTGAAGGATATATAAGGAGGGAGGTTTTGGACATGCGTGAGTTGGTGGAAAGAAATTTAGACAAATGAAAAAGTGTATAGAAGAAGGGGGGGGGATTTGAAACAAGAATGACGACGAAAGGAGTAACGCGTAAAGAACAGTGTAATAGGTGGACGCTTTGCCCTTTTAAAAATTGATTTTGTATTTTGTTAAACAGGGAAATTTCCACATGTACCGCTTCATAGCAAACTTGAACTAAAGTAAGTCTGGCGATAATAAGAAACGTATTGGGGAAAGCGAGCGAGGTTGCCACGTTCTCTACGGACCTAAAAGTTGCGTTCGTTCCATTTTCCGAAATGCGGGTTTTCTAATGGTTGCTGCGTTCAAGAAAGAAGGTCCGCTTCCCTCTAAATGTCGTGCCTTTAATGTCTTCTATGAGGTTTTATATATGTAGGTGCGAAAAAATGTTTAGATCGTATGAGAGCATGTGTTTAAGAGCTTTGAAAGCCTATTCTTTTAGAGAGGATCTTAAGGGCCTTCAAGAGTTTTCCATGTACTTTCAAGATCGCTGTAAAGACATTTGGCTTCAAAAATCGTCAACAAACCTGAATGGGTTTTTTAAATTTTTTAAGACCTACACAGTGCAAAGTGTTTGTCCATAAGAGCCTTCAGGACTATACCAACATTTTATATGTTATATTTTTCTTTGTGCTCTAATAGTTGGTCCCTTAGCCGGTTACAAAAGTTTGGTTTTGAATTTGTATTTACGCTTACCCTTCATAGCGAACATAAAAAAAGTATACCTGGCGATCGATAACAAGTGATAACAAGAAACGTATTGCGGAAGGTGAGCGCCGCACCGTTGCGAGGATCTTTTCCAACCTAAGAGTTTCATTCCGTTGTTTTAAAATCGAGCACGTGACAAAAATACAGGTTTACTATTCGTTTAAAAAGGTACGCTAGTCGAGGACGTTGCGTTCAGAAAATGGGTCCCGTTTCAGAACTTCTAACGGGCGAGATTCGAGTAGCGAGAGAAGTGGAAGAGCGATCGTTCGTAAGCGAGTAAGTACGCTAATTATTATTATTCTTAATTTATTTCAAGTAAAAATGAAAGGTTTTTGTTTAATTTCACGAGCGACCACGTACAAACACCAGTGTGTTGATTCGCGGGCGACATTTTTAGCGGCGTTGCGAGAAATATCTTCATGTATGTGTGAAGATTTGCGGTTGTAACTCGAGAACCGGAACGAGAGGGACATCAATCCGCGTAGTAGTAAAGAATTAGCAGTTTAACTTCGGGTAATAACATGTTAAGTGGCGGGCACTCCTAAATCTCGCGACGAAGAAAAACTTTCGACTCGAAAGAAGGCCTTTTATTTAAGAGTGGTAAAATATAGGCGAAGGAACATTTTCGAGTTGAAGACTCGCTTTTCAAATAGAAAATGGAACGAGAATAAGGGCTGGTTAAAATCAAGTTATTTAGTCAGTGCATTTTGCATTTTTATAGGTGTAGAAAAAAGATATTGAACTGGGTGTTACGTATAATTGAAAACATTCAACCCTAAGGACTTTCGTGGTAGTTTTCTATAAAGGACATTGAATCTTGCTTTCCTGACGAAGATACCATACCCCACAGACTCTTAGTATTACCACAGATATACGTAAATACGTATATCTGTGGTATTACGCCGGATGGTTCCTTTCCGAAAATTACAGTAGACACTGTAACTAAGACGCTGGCTACCAGCAACCAACCCCTCAAGCGGCTGATGTCTATCAACCCCACTGGCAAACTAGTCGGTGGGCACTATCCCCCCAACCGTTTAACATGATCCTCTAGTATATTCCAGGAAAAGCCAACGTGGTGGCCGACACCCTATCGCGCCCATCATTTTCGCCTCATGTAAACGAGACTTCCGAAGTCTGCACCATAACCATCGATTTGCTCAGCAGACAGGGACAAATGAACAAACCCGAACTCATCGATTGTTTCGAGACGCCCTTCGTCAGCCGCTTACTCAAAAACCCAAAAATATGCCTTACGCGTCTCAGTGTAGGTATTTGTCATATAGGTATTTTTTATAAGTGTCAGTTTCTTAAGTGATGCTCTAGAAGAAACTGGTGGTATCATCATGAACAAAATGGCGTAAAAGAGAATAGTCTTTTTATATACAATTGCCTTTGCCGTATGGTTCGCTTTAAAGCACTTACCAAAATTGTATTATTGCAATCGCGTACGAACGTACCTTCGGTAAGGATTTATCACACATGATAGAATTGTTATAAATTTTACGCAAATTCCTCGTCCATGGACCCACAGCTCTAATGTGCAGAGTTAAATTTGATTCGTCTGGACTTGAAGTCAACGTAAACGGATGGTATTCGCTAGGATTTAAGCCAAGACAAGCAATTCGCACCCATTGACCAGATTTGTACTCAAAACTTTCGGGACGTTTAAACTCCAGCGCCACGACACCTGAAACGTTACTATAAGCATTTTCCTAATCACTTTTGTTTCAACTTACTGGACGGAAGGATATGGGCACGAATTACAGGAATCTCCACCTTTTTCCTACTTAAAGACACTAACGTATCTAACGTAAACAGAACGACCGGCCCTAGGAAGAAGTAATGGAAGAACGGTTCCTACACAAACGTGACTTAGTATGACTCCAAGTTTGTCCGATTTTACCTGTATCAAGCGACCAGTTCCATGCAAAACCATAAAAATGAAAAATACCGGATACAAGCTATGGGTGTACCAAAACCAGTTGTATATGTGTTTTCTCACAAATGGCTGAGCGAATACGTAAATAAGAATCATGATAACCGTCAAAATGATTCCCGTTATACCGGTCATGGTTTGCCATGCCCAGTAATGAAACTTCGGTAATTCGTGAGTTCTACAATAATATGTTTAACGCAGTATCTTCGGGGAATCCGACTTACGGATGGAAATAGTTTCTGAAGAGACAGGTAAGATCGTCCGCAGTCTGTGTAGAGATGTGATAAAAGTTGAAACCATGTCCAATGATATGGAGTGCTATAATAAAAGTGTAATAGTAATAAAGTAATACCCACATAGCATTCGATATCTTATATTTATATCCATTTTAAACCATAATGTACAGGGAATGCCTGTTCATCTTATATAGGTATACACTACCTATGTATATTCATTATAATAGACATACCTATGTATTTTATGTCCAGTATGGATATTCTATAAATACACATTTTGGATGTGCTCAGAGCTGGGCAGTATTCGATTTTGTAAATACTTTTTAGTATTCAAATCCTTTAAAGTATTCAAATACTTTGTAATTAAATACTTTTATGGAAGCAGTATTTGTATTTGTAACTCAAATACTTTCACAAATATTTCGCATAGTATTTGAATACTTAACCTTCCTTTTTTTTTTACCAAAATCGACTACTCCAAATTTCTCGGAAAACACTTTTGATCTAGTTGCCCAATCTTGGAACTGTTTGAAATTATGAATTCTACAGGCCACATTCTATAAGAAAATTTTTTTTCGGGCCTCAAAACAGGCAGTGTATAACCTTCCTTTTTTACCAAAAATCGACTGCACCAAAATTTCTCGGGAAAACACTTTTTCTTATTAATTTTGGTGCGTAGAATCCAAAACAATTCGTACTTTTTCGATCAGACTTCTCAATCAAAAGTTATGGACTAGAAACCAATTTCGAAAGAAAATTCAAAAGGCTGTAACTTTTGAACTAATAGCCCAATCTTGGAACTGTTTGAAATTATGGATTCTACAGGCCACATTCTATAAGAAAAATTTTTTCCGGGTCGATCTGAGACAATTTTTTTTTGAGGGCCTCAAAAAAAGGCCTTCCTTTTTTACCAAAAATCGACTCACCAAAATTTCTCGGGAAAACACTTTTTCTTATTAATTTTGGTGCGTAGAATCCAAAACAATTCGTACTTTTTCGATCAGACTTCTCAATCAAAAGTTATAGACTAGAAACCAATTTCGAAAGAAAATTCAAAGGGCTGTAACTTTTGAACTAGTAGCCCAATCTTGGAACTGTTTGAAATTATGGATTCTACAGGCCACATTCTATAAGAAAAATTTTTTTCCGGGTCGATCTGAGACAATTTTTTTTGAGGGCCTCAAAAAAAGGCAGTGTATAACCTTCCTTTTTTACCAAAAATCGACTGCACCAAAATTTCTCGGGAAAACACTTTTTCTTATTAATTTTGGTGCGTAGAATCCAAAACAATTCGTACTTTTTCGATCAGACTTCTCAATCAAAATTTATAGACTAGAAACCAAAATAAAATTCAAAGGGCTGTAACTTTTGAACTAGTAGCCCAATCTTGGAACTGTTTGAAATTATGGATTCTACAGGCCACATTCTATAAAATAATTGTCGATCTGAGACAATTTTTTTTCGGCCTCAAAAAAAGGCAGTACTTTTAAGTTATTCAAATATTTGAGAACAATTTAGAAATGTTTAGGGAAAGTTTCCATTGTCACAAAATCAAATATAAGAATCCGATACAACTGAATACCGAACGATCCTGGAGTGAAACTTTTTGACTCGATAGTCTACGTAACTTAAAAACAATAGAGACCTTTCTTATATCCTTAAGACCATGTGTACCAATTTTCAAAGCGATCGCACGTTTCTAAACAAACTATCATGCACACGGACAAACGGATGTTCAAAAAAGGATCTGTTTCAAAATCGCTAGAATTAATTTCAGAAAGGTGTACGTGTCATGTGCACGACGTACGATCGCATTGAAAACTGGTACACGTATTCTTAAGGATATAACTGGTATAAGAAAGGTCATTTTACTCCCCTTAAATTTGTATATAACAATAGAAATATAAAAAAAAGCTAACCCCATACAAAGTATAACTTGATTTTTTAAGTAGTATTAAGCCTTTTATCTAGTATACTATTTTAAATTTTTAATGTATTTGAGTGACAAGTAAGGTATTTGAATACTTTTTACTGTATTCGAATACATTCTAAAGTATTTGAATACTTATTTTTTAAAGTATTTGAATACTTTTCAATGTATCTGTATCTAGTATTCGCTTGTGCTGGACGTAAAAGTATTTAGTATTCAAATACCTTTGATTTGTGTAAAGTATTTACTATTTAGTATTCAAATACTTTTTGAAAGTATTCTACCCAGCTCTGGATGTGCTATGGATGTTTAGGCACACACATTGTATGTATCTTTTATGTATAAATCTTATACCTCCTCACGAGGATCTTCTATGTATATACATGGGATTATATGGTATGGATATACGTTTTGGATTAGATACATGCGTTTTCTGTGTTACCGACGTTACAAACGTTAGCGCCTCATTTTCTGTGAATTACGGCGATGAAGACAGTAAGGTGCTATTGCAAATACAGTTCATTTTTCTAAAATAAGGAGTGTTATTCTGCGAGTTATTAATGAGTTTGTTTGTCTAATTTGGACAGTGAAAGTAATGATTTTTATTTCGTGTGTGCATGATCTAACGTTGCAAATATGTGTTAGTGAGTGAGATGTAAAGACTGGATGGGAATTAATATAAGGACAAGAGAGGCAGGTATGTTAGCAACCTATTTGTTATGAACTCGCGCTATTACAGTGTTGAACAAGAATACGATCAAGATGACTCAAGCTACCTTGTTAAATAAAACAATAATAGTTTCTTAAGCACATTTTCCATTGTATACCTACTAGGAGACTTAATAAACAAAAAGCTTCACTCAGTGAAAAGAATTTATTTATGTATGTATAGATGCTAGTAAACTTCGCGGATGTTAGAGGAATCTCTATAGAACATCCATTCTGAATGTATACAATATACATAGAATCAGAGCTGGGCAGTATTCGATTTTGTAAATACTTTTTAGTATTCAAATCCTTTAAAGTATTCAAATACTTTGTAATTAAATACTTTTATGGAAGCAGTATTTGTATTTGTAACTCAAATACTTTCACAAATATTTAGTATTGGAATACTTCGCAAAGTATTTGAAAACTTTGAGAAGTATTCGAATACTTCGCATAGTATTTGAAAACTTAACCATCCTTTTTTTACCAAAAAATCCAAAATCCAAAATTTCTCGGGAAAACACTTTTGATCTAGTAGCCCAATCTTGGAATTGCTTGAAATGATGGATTCTACAGGCCACATTCTATAAGAAAATTTTTTTTCCGGGTCGATCTGAGACAATTTTTTTTCGGGACTCAAAAAAAGGCAGAGTATAACCTTCCTTTTTTACCAAAAATCGACTGCACCAAAATTTCTCGGGAAAACACTTTTTCTTATTAATTTTGGTGCGTAGAATCAAAAACAATTCGTACTTTTTCGATCAGACTTCTCAATCAAAAGTTATAGACTAGAAACCAATTTCGAAAGAAAATTCAAAGGGCTGTAACTTTTGAACTAGTAGCCCAATCTTGAAACTGTTTGAAATTATGGATTCTACAGGCCACATTCTATAAGAAACATTTTTTTCCGGGTCGATCTGAGACATTTTTTTTGAGGGCCTCAAAAAAAGACAGTGTGTAACTTTCCTTTTTTACCAAACATCGACTGTACCAAAATTTCTCGGAAAAACACTTTTTCTTATTAATTTTGGTGCGTAGAATCCAAAACAATTCGTACTTTTTCGATCAGACTTCTCAATCAAAAGTTATTGACTAGAAACCAATTTCGAAAGAAAATTCAAAGGGCTGTAACTTTTGAACTAGTAGCCCAATCTTGGAACTGTTGGAAATTATGGATTCTACAGGCCACATTCTATAAGAAAATTTTTTTTCCGGGTCGATCTGAGACAATTTTTTTTTTCGGGGCTCAAAAAAAGGCAGTGTATAACCTTCCTTTTTTACCAAAAATCGACTGCACCAAAATTTCTCGGGAAAACACTTTGTCTTATTAATTTTGGTGCGTAGAATCCAAAACAATTCGTACTTTTTCGATCAGACTTCTCAATCAAAAGTTATAGACTAGAAACCAAATTTCGAAAAAAAATTCAAAGGGCTGTAACTTTTGAACTAGTAGCCCAATCTTGGAACTGTTTGAAATGATGGATTCTACAGGCCACAATTTTTTTCCGGCCTCAAAAAAACGCAGTACTTTTAAGTTATTCAAATATTTGAGAACAATTTAGAAATGTTTAGGGACAGTTTCCATTGTCACAAAATCAAATATAAAAATCCGATACATTTGAATACCGAACTCGATAGTCTACGTAACTTAAAAACAATAGGGACCTTTCTTATATCCTTAAGACCATGTGTACCAATTTTCAAAGCGATCGCACGTTTCTAAACCAACTATCATGCACACGGACAAACGGATGGTCAAAAATGGATCTGTTCCAAAATCGCTAAGATTAATTTCAGAAAGGCGTACGTATCATGTGCACGACGTACGATCGCTTTGAAAACTGGTACACGTATTCTTAAGGATATAACTGGTATAAGAAAGGTCCTTTTACTCCCCTTAAATTTGTATTATAACAATAGAAATATAAAAAAAGCTAACCCCATACAAAGTATAACTTGATTTTTTAAATAGTATTAAGACTTTTATCTAGTATTTAGTATTCAAATACCTTTGATTTGTGTAAAGTATTTACTATTTAAATACTTTTTGAAAGTATTCTGCCCAGCTCTGCATAGAATATCCTATTAAACATCTTTGCATATTACAGGAATATTCATGGTAAATCCAGTTGTCCGTATACCAATATGCATAGCATGTCTGATGCTATACATAAGACATCCAAAGCGTATATACTATGTATTATGTGAAGTCTGCCAAACTTATATCCCATGCACATACATCGGACATTAATTGCGAAATACTTTTCCACATTGGATGTATGGATGTACAAAATCCCACGTGGAATGTGCTTGTTATATGCAATGTATATAATAGGTCTGCTATGTGGGTACATGGTACTTACTTGTAAAAAACAATGCCCAATACGCGATGTATTTGTGAAATTCAACCATAGCATCAAATGGAAAATATAGTCCCAGTACTGTATCTCGTAAGAACGTACAAGTGTTTTTACACATAGTTACCAACAAAGAAGAGTAAGCAAACATCATTGCAGATGCACCTCCTCGTGTAATCGTAACCCCATATCCGGCAATTATCCGAAGTCCAGAGTGCTCAGACTCCACAGAATAATCTACGGATTTTTTAAAGTGAATTAATCATTCAATGGAGTGCTCGTCAAAATCGCTACTTTTCGCCTGTCTTTTGTTCCAGACGAAAACTTGCCACTTTTTTATCTTACTTACAGTATGCCCGTTCTGCAAAAATTGCCCACAAAACCAAAGTGTATAGAGAAAACCAAAATATTTCTTTCGCATTCTCCTCTATGTACCGTAAAATTTGAGTATATTTCCCTGGTTTTTCCTTTCGAATGGTTGTTACACTATCTTGTTCTTTATCGATTAACTCATTCGTTTGCTTACTACTGCTAACTCCTTGTAATCTTGCCTTAATATCAGCTGGATTTCTACAACATCAAGCGATATGAAATATTTTTTGGGTCTTGTTCGTAGTATCCATACTCGTAAATGCTTTCGATGGTGTTTCTTGCACTATCTAGGAAATTGTGACCTTTAACCTCCGGAGCGCCCTTAAAACCTAAATTGGCATAATTCAGCTTCTTAATGTCTTCCCCTATGATTCTCTTAAAATCCTCGAAACTCAAACTGGTCTGTAATACAAAATATATGCCCACTACAGTACAAAAACACACGTACGTAATACTGGCACCGCAACTTTAGCCTGCACATATAATATATATGCCATATTTTTTCTCTAATTATGCTCTAAGCATTCTTTTTTCACTCTCCAAAAATTTGTTTTTAAATATTTGAGCGTGACGGTGGCACCGCAAGTACTAAAACACCTATCAAAAACATTTAATTTATATTTTTGTACCAATACTATTTATTGGTCAAAGAAATTTCTTCCACCAGTGAAATGTCGCGAAATTTTTTCGTATTAACTGGAACATTTATCTTAGTTGTTTAATCAATTTCGACAACCGACTTATCACCACATCTTTTCATTTCATCACTCATAACGAATTAGCTTGGAGCATCAATGCAAAATGAAAAGCAACATCCATAATTTATTTTGACGTTTATTATCGTCATGGAAATAATGTCATGGGCTTCGAGATTATTACATATAAATATACATTCGCGTGTGTAATTACGCTTAAAGTTTCTTTTGATTCATTGAATACCTTCGAATACCATTCGTAGTCGAAGTATTTCTAGATTATTTTTGAGGTGTTGTTCCACTCATGCTAATTACGCTTGGGCGAGTGGTATTAATCAACGCAACTAGCATTCGTAACAGCACCTCAAAAATATTCAACAATACTTCCACTACTTATGGTATTATATATGAAAATTTGGAGGGTGAAAAAATAATGCTTTTGGTGATTAAATAGAGCAAAAATATGGCATATATATTATATGTGCAGGCTAAAGTTGCGGTGCCAGCATGACATACGTCAAAAACACCCCAAACCTTGTTATGTAATCCTGCCGATTGCATCATGTTCTTAATCGTCTTCTGCAACACAGAGGGCTCAATCTTACCTTGAACTGTTTCCAAGAAAGATCTACAACGAGTTACGAATCAAGTTTTGAAAAATACAAAGATGTAACTACTTGATCATGTCGGAGAATTCGGACACGGACAACACGCCAGTCGCGTTTACATCATACATGTCAAACAACAGCTTCGCCTTCTTCAGTTCATCTCCTTCCGCAAATATTATCAGTAAATCGACAAACTCGCGAAACGAAATGAAGCCATTCTTATCTTTATCAATGAGATTAAACATTCTAACTACGAATTCTGCATTGGAAGACATATTTAGCGCTTCAGCAAATTCGACCAAGGTTAATTCCGTGTGTACGATTTCTTTTGCCATTTTTGCGTCCACTTTCAATAACTCTTCTCTGGAGTGTTGAATTTGGAAGGCCTGCATAACAGAGAGGTGGTAAACACTTCCAAGTATATGCATAGGTAGAGACTTACTTGGGCAAACACAACCCTGAAGAACATCTCTAAGCGTTGTTGTCTATGTTCTTGGGTAACCACAATCTTGAATGCAGCTTTCAATGTGAAATTAGAGATGTTTTCTCGCTCAACGTGCACGGTACTAATGAACTGCTCGAGAGCATTTAGGAAGGTTTTCCGTAAATAGTTGGAATCAAATTTAATTACCTGAAACAATAAGGCTCTTAGCAAGTAGAAACCGACAACTAGTCCGTACTAAATCGTAATCTTGGTGCGACTTCATGAAAACGTACGGCTGATCAGATATAACGTAAATCTGAAGTTTACACTTATTATAGGATAAGTCCAGGGCCCTTAGTAGATTCCCTTTATGCGTCATGACACAAATTTGCTTCGTCTTAGTATTCAAAACAATAGCGACTGGTTTCAATAATTCGTTATGGTTACTCCATTCCATTACTGAAACGTAATTCGACAATTGCCATTTTAGGCAATACAATAAATCACCTGTAAACAATGGAAGATCGATGTGGTTTTCGTTTCTCAATGTCGATCTGACGGAATCGTCAATTTGCGTTTGTAGCAGTTTTTCTTGTTTCTGCTTCAGCTGTATTAATAAGTAAACCCCACCACATGTACCTATTGGAACAGAAATTAATAGTTATATAATAAAAATTAATTGCTATTTTTTTGTAAAACAAAACGTTTATTTAATTTGGATTTTCTAATTTTTTTCGATTTTTTTATATGGACGAATGATTTCTTAGTATGGTACTGTCGAACTAACTGCGTGTGAAAGTTAGAGGAGCCAAGAAGTCGTGGAAGATTTTCCTTGTAAAAACTCAGTCAACGTGGAGCCGAGTTATATCTGTCAATTTAGGTTTCTAACGTTTAGCATTAGTTGAGAAGAAGCTGGCTAATTACATATTCGCATGAACGATGCGTGTAGTTTTCAAAGTTTAAAGTAGTGCGAATTAGGTCCTTGGTAAATTAGCCGTGGGGTCGTTCAGACGAAGCCACAAAAACGATGTCCGAGGTATAGATTACCGCAGGATCGGACATTTTACTTTAACAGGTTTGAAAATTAAAAACAAGTTAAAAAGTAATCGTAAACGATTTACATAAAGCGCATTTCCACTTGCATTCATTTCCCATTTGTAAGATGCAACTTCTGTTAAAATCGTAAAAATCCGCCCACAAATATGAAAGATAGCGTTGCACATGGGCAATCCATTGTTGACGTGCTACTTCAATTTCAGTTTATGAGAAGAATTTCATTTCAATGCTTTTCTAAATAAGAAAGTTGGAACTGCGCATGCGCAAACCTAAATTTTGAAACTAATGTTAGATTTTCCTTTGTTCCAAGCGCCAAAGTATCAAATTTCACTTAAATGCTTCCATAGATAAAAAAAAGTTGGCTTGCACATGAGCAAAATAAAATTTTCCATATTGAATTTCATGCAATTCAGTTCATAACTAACGGAGATGTAAAAGCGATCGGACATTTCTAAACAAAAATATCGTTCACACGGACAGATAGAGGGACAGACAGGCAAAGGAACAGACGGACAGACCAACAGACAGACGACAGACAACAATACAAAATTATAAATGCTCTCTAGGATGGTTTGTTTGTTGGTTTTTTTACAAACTTTTTTAGCAATAAACGCAGATAAAATTCCTTCCTTTGTGCAAGCCTCGACACCATAACGAACCAAATAGCGAAAAAAGTAGAACAATAGCTCTTAAGATAAAGAACTAATAGCGTCGCAAAACGAGCGGACGGACGGACGGACGGACAAAGTGGCCACAATAGCGCATTTTTTTTATTTTTGTGGAAATGCGCTAAAAAAGAAATTACACTGTATATACTTTTGATGTGTGGACACAACTAGAAGATACCAAAGTTCTTCCACTTCAATAATAAATAAACGTGTAAACAAATATAGAAAACGAGCTCCTGGGTATATGGCTATAGCATGTGCAAAACCAAATTTTGAACCTGGCGTTAAATTTGCTTTTATTCCAAGTGGCTATGTATCAAATTTCATTTAAATCTCTCTGTAAATAAGAAAGTTGGCACTGCGCATGCGCGAAACCAAATTTTGAACCTGGCGTTCAATTTTTATTCAAAGTGTCCATGTACCAAATTTAATTTAAATAAGTACCTTCATAAATAAGAAAGTTTGAAATTCGGTTTATAAATGGTCGAGATGCGAAAAGGGCACTGTGAATGTTGATCGATTCATAACTCACGGGAATGTCAACAGGGCCCCCGATCTACAAATTTGATAAAGAATCCACCTGCAAAATTTTCCGAAGATATCGTGCTAACGGACGGACAGACGGACAGACACCGCAAAATTATAAACTCGCTAGGAGCTCGTTAATAACGAGAATCTTTGTAACGGGAGCCCTCCAATGGGGTTTATGTAATTTGATTTTTAAAATTAAATAGGACACATGGTGTAGGCGCCATTTTAATTAGATGGTGGTTTCCACAAATTAATTTTAGGGTTGAGTCAGTTGAGTGTTTTAAGTCTGCGTGATTTTTAGTATTGAATATTACAACGTGTACAAGGTGATCCCATTATAGGGCTTTCTCCAAAATTTGGTCGCTCTATTGTTTCTTCAATGGTTTTTGGACACGGCACTGTCCGATTAATTATTGTGAAGGAAAGTTGGTAGCAGCAGTCTGGGAGGAGATAAGGTAAAATTAATGAATTATACGCACTATTGTGCCATCTCTATATACATTTGAAGTATCTATAGTTCTATATCTAGATATTTTGGGAAAAATGTAACGATATCTGTAACTAGATACATTTTTCATTGTATCTGGGCGTACTTTTTGTTGTTGTTGTTGTATCCGTTGCATTGGACTATAAATCCGGAGGTTGGGTGTTCGAACCTGGGTTGAGGTGAATTTTTCATCTGTGGCAGAGATGAGAATTACCTTAGACCAGTTTCGAGCACTCTGCCGGCTACTCCGAATTAGGTTTTCCTGCAGTTTTTCTAATTCGTAAGGTAAATACCGGAGTAGCATAGAACAACTTAAGACCTTCTGCAAAGGCATCTCTAAAAAGCATTTGCGGGTCACTCTGTAATTGGACGCAAGTCTGTTGAGGGCCCAGAACAAGAAAGGGATAATAAATAAATAATAACTAAATAAATATCGAAAACGAGCTCCTGGGTATGTCTATAGCATGTGCAAAACCAAATTTTAAACCTGATGTTAGTTTTGCTTTTATTTAAAGTGTATATGTATGAAATTTCATTTAATTGCTTCCATAAATAAGAAAGTTGGCACTACACATCCTACACAAAACCAAATTTGGAAAATGGCGCTACATATTTGCTTTTATTCCAAGTGGCTATGTATCAAATTTAACTTGGATGCCTCCATAAATAAGAAAGTTGGCACTGCGCATGCGCAAACCAAATTTTCAAACTGGTGTTAAATTTGCTTTTATTCCAAGTGGCTATGCATCAAATTTCATTTAAATCCCTCCATAAATAAGAAAGTTGTCATATGGCTAAAGCTATGCGCATATTGAATTTCATGTAATTCGGTTCATAACTCACGGAGATGTCAAAAGGGCCTTCCTTATTTTTTGGGCTACATTGCCAATTCACGAACTCATATCTACAAATTTGATAAAGAATCCACCTACAAAATTTTATCGTAATCGGTCCATTCGTTATCGAGATATCGTGCTAACGGATGGACAGACGTACAGACGAACAGACACCGCAAAATTATAAACTCGCTAGGAGCTCGTTAATAAATAAATCCGATTTATTCCCTTGCATTTCTCTTCCTTTCTCCCTTCCGATGGCAAACTACGATTTTGTACTGACATTACTCACAATGGGATTTATTATACATGAGCTGAATTATCGTGATTAAAGCCCGGCATGTAAGAATAAGAAAGATAAAAACAGAAGCATAATTTGTCATAAGTTTCTAGTGAGAAATGCACAAACTGTAATTTTCGTTAATAAGCTGTGGTTTCGGTCAAATCAGTGAACGATTGCAACATTCGAACGGTAATTTGACTTTGAGTTTGAGAAAATAATTATCATCATTTTAAACACAACCTCAAACTGTTAGGTGTTATTTTTTTAAAACTCGATTCCAGAGTTTTCTAGACTTCTTACCTATATATGTTATCTAGATGCAAAATATAGGTACCTATCTACATCTAGATACAATGAAGCAAATGTATATGTATCTAGATGCTCAAATAAAAGTATCTGTCACAACATTGATTATAGGTGTCAGTTTTTGACGAGTTCGATCCGTTTCGTGAGGCAGCCTGCTTACGCTAGGAGTTTATTGATTGAACGAATAAATCGAATAGCAACATTTTGAAGGTGTATTTGTAAAATTGCAAAAAGTGGGGATTAAGCCGAGAGAGCGATACTTTGCGAAAGGTGCGCGTCTAAAATCAAGTGTATAAAATTTGACAATACCGTAGAGTAGGTAATTAGCATAAAACCTTGACAGCTAATCATTACCCTCGTTAGTAAAAACTGGTGTAACAATCTATATATTCGGCGTGTCACTGATACAGTTCGACCCCTACCATCAAGACCACTAAGTAAATACTTACCAATCAAGAAGGTCACTAGGCCCGCATATGTAAGAATGAAAGAAGCTTCACTTTGACTGAAATAATTGTAGGAATATCCTTGTACACAGGGCTCGTTCAAGTTCTCCGCATTTAACTGAGGCAGGTGATAACAATTAAATGGTTCTGTAGTTGTTGGACTTAATCTTATTCTGCACTCTGATCTAATCAACTTTGATACACAATTCTCAGCGATTTCGTAAACTGAAAGTCTTATTCTGAAACAGGTATAAGCTTATGTCGCAACCTACTGTTTCGCAAGGGCACATTAAAAGGATTTCTGGGAATATCATTGTGATCCATTTTTGTGACCGCCATTATAACATCATAAAAAGTTAATTCCTTTAATCTGTCTATTTCTTCATTCGTGAATAACCTAAAAAGCGTTTTTCTCAAATAACTACCTACTTCGAGTAGAAACGTAATATATAATACTATACCCATTTTTTGTATTGTTGAACCAAAATCGATCACCGTCTCGAATTCGTTGGAATTGATCGACAATAACGGCTTGGAAAAGTTCACCCGGTCCATCACCAGTTTCGAGAATACCGCCGACCCAAGGATCGATATCATTAAAACTGTTGTTATACAATAACATCAATCTTTCTTTAATCTAGGAAGCTTTGTTTAAAAAATAATTAGCAAATACAGCAACCTACCTCCGTGCTCACATACTGAAAATGATCCACATTAGTTACTGGGGGTAAACCGTAAGCTTTTCGAGCAGAATTAAAATCGGGCAATCCGTGATCGCGAGCGCGTTGGATATTAACTGCCATTAAATCTCGTCTTGGAAATTCGATCGGTCCAAAAACATTACCTCGTAAATCTTCAACTATTTTATGATCTTCTTCTTCGCATAACTGCACAGACATTCCCATTAACACTCTGTCAATATCAATAAGTTCTTCATTAGAATAATTGGTTTTAATTGCATCTTGCGGCCTCCAAAAGGCATTGCAGGTTCTTACAGCGTAACGACCCCAATTTGGGAAGGAATAGTTGCAACCGTTCCTACCATAATCACGTAGATAAACTCCGGGCGTAACTAGGGTGTGACCAAAACGAAAAGCGGCCGCTTGGAAAAACTGATCAATTTGTGGATCAACACTTGGATCGTAGCCTTTGTATGGAGTCATAGTAGTGACGTTGAGCCATGCGGGCAACCACTCATCAAACACTATGTGTTGATGAGTGGCAATTACCCATTTCCTCGCTTCGTTAAAAACTCTCTCTGATGACCATTCGGGATGATGTGCCCTAAATCTTCTGGCTAAATAGTTGTGCCAACGGAACCACAATACACCATAAGTTAAAAGGAAAGTATTTTCATTTCCACGCGGGTTTCCAAGTTCTAAAACAAGAATAAGCAGACTGCCAAAATGAAAACAGTAAAACGCACTAAAGAATCTGGATATGCGCGCCAATTCGTGTCTTTGAACAAATTCGGCATGATGAAACGGTGGTGGCGGATTGGCCAACGGGAGCCGATCAGTGTTATACTCTGGAAAAAGTCCTTCATGAGAGTAGGCGAGGAGACCATCAGGATCCATTGTGCCATTAGAGTATGTGCGAAGTCGATCGGCCCATTGCTTTGTGATACCGTACATCAGTCCTCCGTCGATGAATGGAGTAATTTCGTTTATCTTAAAACAGAAATGCCTGAATGAGAGGGCCATTGTATACCACCTTTACCTGCTGCCTGGGATTATTTGGACTTAATCCCGTTGCTTGATTGTATCTGGTTCTTAATAATGGCAGTACCGTGTGACCCGGTTTTTTTCTGTACGAATGATTCAAAGGTATGGGAATATTAAAATACTCAGGGGGACAAGCGGGTCGTTGCGCGTCGAGAATCTCTTCGACGACTTGTTGGCCTACAATAATTAGGTCGGTAATTGCGCCAGCAAGCGGTACTTTTGTAGGTTACCAAAGAATACTAGCAAAGCATTTTTTCCGGTTCGCGATTGTGATCCAATGGGTCCCTCCAACAGTTGCTCGCTAAGTTCCAATGGGTTTGGTCTTTTGGAGCCAGACGGCAAATACGTCCCATCCTCGTAAGCTGCCGGCCACCTCCTTAGTAGAGTACCGTCTAAAGATACAGTCAAATTATATTTACACGAGCACAACATGTTTACGACACACATACCAATAGCTCCCAAATCAGGCCTTGCAAAATTGTTATACCACCCATCATATCCTTCAAATTCTACGTCCGTTTCCCTTGAGTTTTTACAGGTATGCGATGGATCCTTAGACCAACAGCCTCTCAACAGCCAATCACCTAGTACAGTTCTGTCACTTGAATGTATTCCGGGCCAGTCATCGATACCTGGTTTTCGGTCCCCTAATTAAAAATACGATTAGCCCTTATTTTCAAAAATGCGTTCTTTTGTTAGTATAGCATCTTTATTTTCTTGCTTTGAAGAACAATAAACGGTGAGTATTTGCAGTTGCAGTTTTAAATTGTTCGAATTTCATTTAGTAAAAATTACACATGTACCGCCTCATAAGGAAGGTGAGCGCGAGTGGGTTGCTAAAAATCGGTGGACTAGATTGGTCCCACAAAATTTGCGTTCAACCCGCTTCGCATTTTCTACTCGGCCCCAAGGAAACCTTGGAGATGAGAAGGAAGCCTACCTTCAATCGCAATAGCGTGGCAGTTCTTCCAATTAACTTGGAATCACGCAAATTCTATCGGGCGCGGTTTCATTAAAAATCATTCGCGCAAATGTTGTAATGCGTCTTTGGGTCTGAATTGGAATAGGGTACCAGTTAAACTCGTCTATATTGTGCGAATAACCAGTCTGAAGTGAAATTCGTAACGCAGTTTTAGTGTTGACGTAATACCGATGAAGACCATTCGCTTTATCGTAGCGCGTAAACAAGTTAATTTTAAATCGCGAACGTATGAATTTGTGGTCTAGAAATGCAAATGTTCAGTGCTCATTTTGATGAAATTGTGATGTAACCAAAACCCCGCTACACATAAATCGCATTTAAGGATTACGAAAAAACTCCAATATCAAACGAAGAAATTACGAGTCCGGTATAGTTTGGTCGAGATAAATAAAAGTTCATTATCCAGAAGTTTACCATAGGTACAACAAGAAGCGCGAGTTACAAAAGTTCAACTGTATCACCCCAAAAGCGATCCAGTTTTCATTTGTTCTTGCAGTGAACCTTTCCAAGGAAGGGAGCGCCGTACCATTTGTAACCTAAAGAAAAACACCGACTTCTAGATCGCCCTTCAAGGGTTATGAATATTTTCCTAGTAAACGCGAAATTAATAACCATATCTACCATCTACCATATCTACAGATGTGTTCTCTACACGTTCGACAACCTCCATCAATTCAGTACCAACCAAGATGTCAGCAGCACGATGAAAACGCGTTTCGCACGGCAACTCTGTATCCCAAAACACACTACACATTTATATGAACAATCTCCCACATATAGGTGCATTAAATTATTTAATCACCTACCTATGCGGATCCAAAAATGCAAAGCAGCACAATTTAAATCCTTGGCGAAAAATTTCTTTCTGGAGCACCCATATTACACAGTGGTGGAGTACTTGGCAGGCTCTCCAGTATGATATCGAGAGTCCTATATGTCTCTTGTCTTTTGTTTTATACACTTATAAATGTTTTATATACTTATATGTTACGTTTGTCACTAACTAATTGTTTGTATACGATTTACTCTCCTGACGACCCTATATTACTAATGTAATCTGAAAGGGAAATAAATAAATATGAAATATGAAACAAAATAAAATATTCAAAATTTTGAGTTTCGATTACAGTTTTGTATAACCCTTTCATTTTTTTAAATAGGGCGTTAGACGGCACTATTCTTGCTAAACATTTCAGTGTTTCAAGTTGAAAGAATCGAAGAACTATTGATAATCTTTCCAGAACTCTAAAAAAGTTGGGGTGGGGGCTGCGTGCAGTTGTCTTCTTTCTAAGATTTACATAATATGCATAACTGGTAGAACTTCATGAGAAGCCTCTAGAACCTGAATTACAGTTGCAAAGTTTTATAAATGAGAGGTTAATTTCACATGTTTCCATTTTATAAAAATAAGATCGTCATACTAACACTTAGATCATTAGATGTCACTATGTAACAGAGCTGGGCAGAATAGTACAAAATTAAATACTAGGTACTTTGAAAAGTTTTTAAATACAGTAAAAAGTATTCAAACACTAGAGTTAGACGAGGAACAGATAAACAGACGGACGGGCAGACAAAACTAGGGAATGCAATCCCGCAGCAAAATCTCAATCCCGGTATTTGCGGGATTGTTAGATGTTAATCCCGCGGGATTCCGGTATTTGCGGGATCTTGCAAAACTTTAAATAAATTGGCAAATAAGCAATTCTGTGCGGTTAACTTCTGTATTAAAATAAATCGCTAATTATCACAATATTTAACAAAAAAGTACCTTCGGCCTAACTTAGAACTCAAAAAAACCTTACCTGTAAAGCACAAACAGTCTTCTAAAGTGCCTCAAAAATCATAGTACATTTTTAACGAAAAAAGTTTAACAATTATTTTAAAAATAATTTCTCCGTTATGCGTTTCATTAACAAAGCAAACAGAGTCGTCCCCTTGGTCGACAAATTCCTCAGTCCCGCAAATCCCGCGGGATCCCGCTCCATTTATGTGCGGGATTAATCTCGCAAAAATGCTTATTTCGGGATCCCGGTATTGCATTTCTAGTCTATAACTTTTGATTGAGAAGTCTGATCGAAAAAGTACGAATTGTTTTGGATTCTACGCACCAAAATTAATAAGAAAAAGTGTTTTCCCGAGAAATTTTGGTGCAGTAGATTTTTGGTAAAAAAAGAAGGTTAAACACTGCCTTTTTTTGAGGCCCTAAGAAAAAATTGTCTCAGATCGACCCGGAAAAAAAATTTTCTTATAGAATGTGGCCTGTAGAATCCATAATTTCAAACAGTTCCTAGATTGGGCTACTAGTTCAAAAGTTACAGCTCTTTGAATTTTCTTTCGAAATTGGTTTCTAGTCTATATACAGGGTGACACTTTTAAAACTTTCAATGGGCGATATTGTTTTTTATATTAGAGGTTATCACAAAATGGCCAAAACCGTTTCGGTAGAATCGAGGGGGAAGCAAAATGGTCGTATAAAGAAGGAACCAACTTCAACCTCGTACCCCCCGCCACCCCCCTCCCTAAATTTTGAATTGTGACGTATCACTTGTGATACATCATTGGAAAGCTCTTAAAAAATCCTTTTCAGAAATACCATATACTGGTGCATTTAGACTGCCCATTCACAATTTATGTAATAAAAATGAGTAATTTGAATATTTGATGAATTTGTCAGTGTTTGAAATAAAAAAAATTTCTTAGATCTAGTGATGCTTTGGAAAAACAATGACAGCAATTTTTAGTAAATAATAATTTTCTATTGCTTTATTTGTTGATCGGTTATTATTATTTTAGTCTCGTTTTTAGTATTTCTTGGCAAGAAAATTACAAATTTTGAATTTAACTAAAGATTTCATAATGGTGTACACGTTAGCCGAAAGAGTTGAAATTATTTTCATCTATGGTTCTGAAGCGCGATCTGCATTTAGAATAGCAGCTGTTTTTAATGCCCGCGACACCCAGAACGACGTGTCAGTCACACTTATGTTGCAATGTTAGTGACTAAATTTGAAGAAACTGGGTCAGTGGAAAATAAGGAAAGAGACGGACCAAGAATAATGGATGAAGCTACTCAGATTGAAGTTTTAGGTCATTTTGGTACAAACCCAACATCATCTATTCGAAAAGCAGCGACTATGACCGGACTTTCGCGAGAAACTGTACGACGAACTCTTAAGGTGCACAAATTCTACCCTTATAAGATGCAGATTGTACAGGAACTAACCGAAGACGACTCCGATCTAAGAATCCAATTTTGTGAAATAATGACCGAGAATATTCAAAATAATCCGGAACTGCTGAAAAACATTTGTTTTAGTGATGAATGTACATTCTTTTTAAATGGAAATATGAACAAACATAACTGCCGGTATTGGGACGATAAAAATACTCATCTTTTTCGCGAGGGGCATACTCAACGGCCCCAAAAAATTAACGTCTGGGCAGGTATCTTAGGTGATAGCATTATTGGTCCTCTGTTTATCGAAGGAAATTTAACTGGAGATACTTACCTAAACATGCTACAAAATACCGTCGAGCCTCTCATCACTCATGAAATAGAGAATCAAATAAATCCAATTGACGGAAACATAAATTTGATTGAAGATTTCATACATTTTCAACAAGATGGGGCTCCTCCTCATTACTCTATGGCTGTGGATAGGACGAAGAGGTCCTATAGAATGGCCAGCACGATCTCCAGATCTGACACCATTGGATTTCTTTGGGGTCATTTAAAATCGGTTGTGTACAAAACTGAACCAGCTTCCATAAATGATCTTCGCTACCGGATAGTCAGGGAGTGCCGTTCACTTTCCAGGGAAGTGTTTAAAAATGTTAGAAATGAATTTGAAAACCGTTTGTGGTATTGTTTAGAACAAAACGGTGAACATTTTATTAAATAAAAGTTGTTTATTTGCGGAGTTCAAATTTTAGTGTAATAAATTGTGAATGGGCAGTTTAAATGTACCAGTGTATGGTATTTCTGAAAAGCATTTTTAAGAGCTTTCCAATGATGTATCACAAGTGATACGTCACAATTCAAAATTTAGGCATGGGGGAGGCGGGGGGTACGAGGTTGAAGTTGGTTCCTTCTTTATACGACCACTTTGCTTCCCCCTCGATTCTACTGAAACGGTTTTGGCCATTTTGTGATACCTCTAATATAAAAAACGATATCGCCCATTGCAAGTTTTAAAAGTGTCACCCTGTATAACCTTTGATTGAGAAGTCTGACCGAAAAAGTACGAATTGTTTTGGTTTCTACGCAACAAAATTAATAAGAAAAAGTGTTTTCTCGAGAAATTTTGGTGCAGTCGATTTTTGGTAAAAAAGGAAGGTTATACACTGCCTTTTTTTGAGCCCCGAAAAAAAAATTGTCTCAGATCGACCCGGAAAAAATTTTTTCTTATAGAATGTGGCCTGTAGAATCCATAATTTCAAACAGTTCCAAGATTGGGCTACTAGTTCAAAAGTTACAGCCCTTTGAATTTTCTTTCGAAATTGCTTTCTAGTAGGGAATGCAATCCCGCAGCAAAATCTCAATCCCGGTATTTGCGGGATTGTTAGATGTTAATCCCGCGGGATCCCGGAATTTGCGGGATTTCGCAAAACTTTAAATAAATTGGCAAATAAGCAATTCTGTGCGGTTAAGTTCTGTATTAAAATAAATCGCTAATTATCACAATATTTAACAAAAAAGTACCTTGGGCCTAACTTAGAACTAAAAAAAACCTTACCTGTAAAGCACAAAAAGTCTTCTAAAGTGCCTCAAAAATCATAGTACATTTTTAACGAAAAAAGTTTAACAATTATTTAAAAAATAATTGGCCGTTATCAGTTTCATTAACAAAGTAAACAGAGTCGTCCCCTTGGTCGACAAATTTCTCAGTCCCGCGGGATCCCACTCCATTTATGTGCGGGATTAATCTCGCAAAAATGCTGCGGGATCCCGGTATTTCGGAATCCCGCAATCCCGGTATTGCATTCCCTAGACAAAACCAATACATAAGGGGAAATTTCCTTAATACAAATACTGCTTCCATAGAAGTATTATTTACAGAGTAATTGAATACTAAAAAGTATTTATAACGTCGAATACTACCCTTGGCTCAGGTATGCAGTTAATTTGTTATTAAACATTTTACTTTATTTTATGTGGCACAGATTAGTCCTGATTATTGTTAATTAATCCGTTCAGTAAATTTTTCATTGGGCATGACTTAAAGTACCGCTGTGATATGCAAATTTATCTAATCTGTACCATCTTGTTCCGCGTATGACAACAAGAGGCGCCGCAAATCACTACTGGTGAAATTCGTATATGCAAGGGTTCTGAACAGTTTTTAGTCATTCTTTATTGGAAAGAGAAGGGATAATTATGGGGCTCCGTAGACATAGTTTTTGAATATTTACTTTAACAATGTAATTCAAAATTATCCAAAGTATAAGTGAACTTATTTTAATTTTGAAAAAGTGACACTCACAATTCATTAACAGAATGCCAAAATCACAATCAAAAAAAGTTCAAAGTAAAGTGACAGGAATTCTACAGTGGAGCTCAAATGCAGTTGCGTAAGATCCTTCTTAACAATTCCTAATTTTTATGTTCATCATTTTCAAACTAATGAATACTTACAAATATAGAGGAAGTTTGAAATTTCCACGGGTAATTTTGTAAGAATAAAAATTTGTATCAATATTAATCAATAATTGGGTGTTTTCCTCAAACTGCCTTTACAATTATTGTAGGGATCAAACTTTCTGTACTTCAAAAAAGAATTCACACCTACCTTGATACAGTCATTCTTGGATCCTTTTTACATTACAAATAGTTAAAAACTGTATTTATGTAATTGCAATTGCCAATACTTACATTGGCGGATTTGTGGAACAGGAGGAACAGGTACCGGTGGCGGAGCCGGTTCAGGTGGTATTTGTCCCAAAACGTGGTTAACGATAAAAAATATCAGGAGGATAATCATGCTTCACAAGTCACACGAGCACCACATACCAAACGAGTTTCTACATGAAGATTAGACAAAACTTTAGGCTTCCCAGCACAGGAAACCACAAGAGATAATTTATCTCCTCGATAACCGAAACATTATTACCGTTTTTGTTGTAAAAAGGAATGGGGTGTTTAAAATTTCCTGTGATAACGGTGATTCATTGATTAGTTATACGGTACTTTTAGGGAAAATAAGACTCACAAATATATTTACACATATTACCTATATTGCAATGCAAATGTAATACAAATAGATCTTATATATTCTGCAAAATAATTACGAAATTAAGATAGAATTTTGCAATTAAGCTATTTCACATTGCAACATACAAAAATTAGCATAAATTATTACATCACAGAATTCCAGAGCTGCTTTTAAACAACACTCAAGTTATTAGTAGTTATTTTTCATTTTCCAACAATATAACTAAAAGTGTGACGTTCTGTTAATAATTTCCTACAAACTCTCTTACGTGTAAAATCACTACAATTCATATATAATCATTATATACATAACAACTTAAATTTGAGGAACTAGATTAATTACACCGGGAAAGGGAGTATTACTTAGGAAACATACAGAAAATTAAGTTTACAATTCTTTGGATAAAATAAGTATCCCCTTCATTATCATGTCTTAAGTAATAAATATCAATAAATACGGGAAGAACGCGGCAATGATCTTTGAAACCAATTTAAGAAATAATAATCGAGGGAATAAAGTCTTTTACGATTAATTTGAGCATCATTTGGCGACCCAATTATATTAAACGATGTCATGGTGATTGGCACCGGTGAGGGGTTGTTGTGCCTACAAAACAAACAAAATTTTATTTTCAATATTATGCCGCGATTGCGAAATGATGATTAAAACAAAGACATATGCATAAACTTACCAATGTTCATAATCATGATGCGTGAAACAAAAAAAAACATGGACGAGTTCGAATGACTAACAATGGTTAAATTGTTAATGTTATTATAAAATTGTTCAGATGAAAGGATACGCAACCCTTAAAATTCATTAAAGCAATAATCAACTACTAACAGTTATATAGCTAAAAAATGAAATGCAAAAGTTTTTTTGGCACAATACAGATTAACATACATACATGATTACAAAAATATTAATTGATATATGTTTATATTAATACCGACGGACATGCGAACATTAGAATAATACTGTAACTTTCAATCACAAGTTAATTTAATCATGATCTAAGTATGAATTAATTTGGCAATCAATTATTATAGTTCCATTCCAAGAAGCCAAACTAAAATATGTGATACATATTAGACTAGACCACTGGTCCATTCCAAAATCTATCACATATAACATTGATTCTGCTAATCATTATTACATAGCAACAGTGTAACAATATATAAATCAATCATATGCCTATAACGATTTGCAGTAAACTCAGTAAGGTGAAACGAAAGTTAAACATTCCAAAAACACATCTTTATAAATCCACTTATGCTCATAGTACGCTTAAAATATGTATAAAATGGACAGATTATCTAGATGTCATATTATTATAATCTAATGTTAGTGCCCTTACCTCTTCGCCAACGGTACTCGGACACACTCGCGTATTTGGGTAATTTTTTTCTAATGAAAATTGATCTTCGGTTGTTTTCCGATACACTGGATTGTCGAAGTTCATTGATGTTAGATTGCGATGTACATAATTTCTATAAACTATGTATATTAACTGCAACAAATGTAAAAATGATTAATTAGTTACGCTACAGAAAGGGATTTCATAAATGATGGCCATATTTGAAGGAATTTTACGTATTGGAAATGTATGCATGGAAGTGTGTGTTGCCTATCCATAGGAGTATGTCATCACAGAAACAAGATTTTCAAAATCTAAAATATTGCAAAATCATTCCAGTTTTAAAATTGGATTGGTGCTGAAATGGTTGTAGTGGTGCTGGTTATTGGCTAACGCTGGGGCCTCTGTATGGAGGACAGACCAGCGGTCGTGAGTGTGGAGCTTGCTTAAATTTTCAAGGACTCCATATTGGCTGTTCGGTAAAAGTTCCAAAATTTGTGCTTGTTCCTTGGTTTCCTTTTCTCAGTGACTGCAATACAAGGCCTTACTTGGGTTTTTGGATATCACTTTACAAACTTCCTATATCAAGGTAAATCCCTATGCCAGAATTTCAAACGAATTTAGAATGCCCCGAGGATGTTGTGCCTCCATTTTGGGGGCAAACTCAACTGTTACATCGATCACGCATAGACGACAAGTTCAGGGACACCGCGTAGGAGGGGGGGGGGGATTTGGCAGGGGGATTTGGCATTCGCAAAGTTCCCGACTCCCCTCTTCTTTACAGTGGATTCTCGTTTGCGTTACACTCATCTCGGCGATGTCACGTCATGCTGCGCTGCAAAGTAGTGACGCTACATAAAGATTTCATATTTTTAAGTGCGCCGCGTCATAAACTGTAGTAATATAATATACAGTGATATTTATTAAGAACTAGACATAGGGATGTACGCGTTGTATTGTATTGTTTTTCTCTATGTCTACTTTTAAAAGGTAAAATCTCTTCTGAACACAAGCTACAGGCCTTTCTACATACTTCATAGAAAATAAACCTCTTACTCACCTTAAACGGACACTACACCAATTGACAATGGCAACTTTCTCTTAAGGTGAATACATGGCACACGAACGAAAATTAAAATACAGAAACTAAACCAACCACAATGAAGTTAATTGACATAACAGCCAGATCTTTATTTGTTTTAAAAAGTTATTTTGGTTGCAGAAAATTAGGGGCCGTCATAAGCATTGTCTATTTAAAGTAGACAGCGAAAAACAATACACGTAAATCCCTATGTCTACTTCTTAAAAAATATCACGATTTATAGTATAATATACAGAGTGGCCCAACGAGAAGTATACAGAGGGCTTTTAGGGTACTAAATTTAGAAATTTCGAAAAATCCTCGAACACGTCAATTTTGTATTTGAGGGGGACAACTTTTGGAATACAAATCACGAACCCAAGTCTTCACCCTTCTATGTAGGAAGCTTAACCCCTAAAATTTTAAATGGAATCCTATGGCAAATGGCACATTATTTGAAAGCCAATTTAATCGTGATTACTAATCTGCTTTGCTTTTTAAATTCTATTGATTCGTTTCGGAGATATTCGCATTTGAAATGGTTTTTTCCCCTGATTTAAGTCCTTTAGATTACTTCTTGTGGGGATATTTAAAGAATAAAGTTTATGCTACTCCGCCCGGAACATTACAAGGGTTGCGAGCACGTATAACCATAGTGTAAAAATAGAATACACTATGATATAACTCAACAATTTCGAGCGATTACCCCTGAAATCTTGCAACATGTACGGCAGCGTTTTGAAGCAAATCTTTATTATTGCATGGAAGCAGGCGGAATTTATTGAAATAAATGTTGTGTGTTTAAAGTTATTTGTTATTTTTTGCACAATTTGAACCTTGTATAAAGTAAAATTTTAATACAAGGTGACTTAAATCGCATTTCAAATGCGAATATCTCCGAAACGAATCAATAGAATTTATAAAGCAAAGCAGATTAGTAATCACGATTAAATTGGCTTTCAAATAATGTGCCATTTGCCATAGGATTCCATTTGAAATTTTGGGGTTAAGCTCCCTACGTAGAGGGGTGAAGACTTGGGTTCGTGATTTGTATTCCAAAAGTTGTCCCCCTCGAATACAAAATTGACGTGTTCGAGGATTTTTCGAAATTTCTAAATTTAATACCCTAAAAGCCCTCTGTATACTTCTCGTTGGGCCACTCTGTATTTATTTTTATTTGTAGTGTAGCCATTGAATAATAAATCTTATTATTCAATGCTGTAGCTTAAGTGAGAAGGCATTCATTTTAAAAACATGAGATCTTTATTAACGAACCTCGAGATCGTTTATAATTTTGTATTGCTGTCTGTCTGTCCGTCCGTCCGTCTGTCCGTGTGCACGATAACTTTGTGTAGAAACGTCAGACCGCTTTGCAAATTGATACACATGTTCTTCAGGATATAGGAAAGGTCGCTATTGTTTTTTGGCTACATAGACTAACGGGCCAAAAAGTTACTGCCCAAACCTCCAAAAAGGGTTTCTCTTATAACTCTTGTTACAAAGAACATATGAATGTCCGGTTTTCTGTGTTAATAAATATTTCTTAAACTTCAGGCAACTATGCAGATGCAAAAAAATATTGCACATTACAACTTTTATATTTGCGCAATCCCAATTTTTTTATTTGTTACGGTATTTAATGGAAATTTTGTAGGTAGGCACTTCGAATAAAAGTAAAACTAATGCCGAATCAAAAAATTTGTTTTGCGCATGCGCAGTCGGTTTATTTAATTTGTTAAGATATTTAAATGAAATTTTGTATGTAAGCACCTCGAATAAAAGGAAAACTGATACCGATCAAAAAATTTGTTTTGCGCATGTGCAGTCGTTTTTTTTTATTTGTTAAGATATTTAGGTAGATGAAATTTTGAATGTAGGCACCTCGAATGAAAGTAAAACTAGTACCGAATCAAAAAGTTTGAAGGTCAGTTACTACAAATCCATGGGAGAGGAAGTTATCATGGTTAACCAAGGAAGGAGAGTAGCTACAGCGACGTGCTTCGGAGGTTGAAGGGTTAAGCCTCCAAGGATGAAATACTCACTAGACACAATAAAGAACGTATCAAGAACGCAAAGGAGAAAGGGGATAACGTGTGTTATGCTCAGAGCTGGGTACTGCCTCGCGTTTACTCAAACTGCTCGGCACTCGAGCGCTTTTTTCTGTCGACGAGCGGTTTTTACGCTCATGAGCGTTTTTTTTCCGCTCGCAAGCTTTTTTTCGCTCGCGAGCTGTTTTTTCCGCTCCCGGGCGCTTTTTCCCCTCTTGAGCGTTTTTTCCGCTCACGAGCACTTTTCCCGAGCGCTCGCGATAAACCGCTCGAGCACATTTAGGATTGCTCTGAAATCGCAAGCGGTTTTAAACAACTCGATGCTCGCGAGCATTTTTGAGAATATAAGAGTGCTCGACACTCGAGCGGTTTTTTAGAACGCTCGACCCAGCTCTGGTTATGCGGACCACCTGACCATACAGGGGCGCGCAAAGTGTTGGAAAACTTAACGAGATAGTAAATGTCACCTTGCATGCTGTCGATGATTGGATAAAGGCAAGCAAGCTAAAACTATCAGCCGTAATATTAAATAGGCACTGGCACCTAAAAGAGGTGAAGACAGTCCACCAAGGAAAAGTAGGGGAATGATCATAGATTCAAGACTATCGATGGGGGGACACGTAAAAGTGGCACTAAAGTTAATGGGGAACCTCAGCCGACTTCCACTGAAAGTAGCGCCCAAAAAAAGCTCGACAAGGTATAGTATAAGAGTAATAAAAGATAATAAAAGAATTGGACAAAAGAAAACTAGGAGGATGATACAAAATATACAGCCTTTACTGGCAGAAGGGAATCGCTAGGTCAAGGAGTAGTTTTAATGGGTAAGGCCAACCTGAATCGGAATGGAGAATCCCACACTACCTTGCGCCAATAGATCTAAGGCGGTTTGTGCTTATGTTCCACCCATACACAAAAAAAAGGAAGGTGACTTCAAAGTTCAATTACAGTATTTGTTATTGGTTTGTGTGATGGGTCGGTAGTTTTGAGGGCGCAATATATTTTTTGGGTTTGATTGCAGTCGTATTTTTGCATAAATGCCAAATGGGATTATTTTTCATGACTCCTGATTTTTTAAATGTTGTTTGAATACTGCGACTGAACTAAAATTCTCCGATGTTGTCGTAGAGGCTGAAACTGTACTGAAACTGTGAAACTGTAAGATGCAAATATTTTTCCCACCATTTTTTCCTAGAGTTAGTTAAGTATACATTTTTTATAAGCTTTTTTACAATGGAGAATAAAATTGATTTGATTGATTGATTTGATTGAGTTAGTTTTGGCGGGAGGACTTCTCGGCTGGACCTGGGTTATTACAACCAGAAGACAAATTTAAAGAGTCTTTTAGTGGAGGGTGAGTTTGAGACTCACTTTCAAATACTAAGCTAATTGTTTCAAGCTACTGCTACCGTTCAAATAAATTAAAACTTACCCCACTCATTAGGAGGAATACAATTCCAGTAACAACGATGACTATAATTGCGATTGTTCCTGAACTGGTGTCATCGGATTCTATAACCACTTTAGTTGGAATACCTGCAAGCAATTGTGATGCTTAATCTAAAACCATGTTCCTTTCAATATTAAGCAAAACATGAGAATGGATGAGAAAAAATAAAAATTACATCAAAGCAGTTTGCAATAGTTACATTTACGCCTATTAGGATTAAATAACAAACTGCTTTAAACTGTGAACATCTAACATACTATTTGTAAATTAACTAGCAAAGAAGCGGTAACAAAACTACTACATTAATCAATTGTTACAACGCCACAATTAAAAGAATGAAGCACAGAATTTGGATGCACCTCTTTTAAATATTGTGCTATTGATTCCTAAAACCAAAGAATATAATTTTCATTATAGAACAAATTACTCAATTTGATGTTCACTTTTGATACCTTAGTACTTTGAACGGTACTTGAAACGCTATACCTACCCAAAGGAAATAAAAGACAAAATTTACTCATTCTAAAAAGTAAGAACTTATTTTTGGTCACGAAATATGATTAAAATTCACATTTTCTATAATATGGATGCATTTATTCAATCTTTTGAAATCCGCCTTTATATGCACGTTCAAAATTTGTAAGCACAAAGAAAATTGAACAGTGCATGTATTTTCTAAGTAAAACACAATTAATTATTGTTTCTGCTAACGTTCTACATCATTCTCAGTGTTTCCATGAAACAGCCGAAAGTTTTGATGTAGTACTATTACAAGTACTCTGCAGAGCATAAATGCGTGCTAAAAAATGCTCAAATGGAAAGAGCTTCAAAAAATGATGAGAATTTTACGCTCATTAAGCAAACTGCTTTGAAGTTAATAGGGTTAGTAAAATAAATATGACGGTGAAATAAAGCAAGGTAAGGTTAGATCATCATCGATTAATGGTATTTCAAATTCTGTACTCACTCGTTGTTTCAACGTCTGTATGGGTTTGGAATTGCTTTGTTAAATCTGAATGAGTCACTGAATACGGAGTTGTAACGTTATCTGCTAAATAAATATAAAAAATAATAACGTTGTTTTAATAATAACCCAAACTACTAGACAATTTTCAACTACTTACTGTCCTGTACACATGTAAGGCCATCGGATAACATCCGCAAACCTTCTGGGCAAGCGCAAGATATTAGTGGAGAGTTTTGATTAATCTGCGGCGCAGGCAAACATAAGTGTGAGCAATGACCGTTTACAGCTTGACAATGATTTTCTCCATCTGGCTGACGGTATGGATGATACACATGGATAACCATAGGATTTTGTATCTAAAAATCATGCATTACTACCAGTCACAAAAACGGGATACGCACCATTTCTGTAGCAGTAACCGCTTGTACGTCCTTCCCTGTAAATTTATTAGCCTTAAATACTGCGAATTTATCCCAATCTGTCCAATAAACCCAATCTTCGAAGGTAGTGATGGAAAATGGATGGCGCAGAGTATCAGGTGAAAAAAGTATGACCCGTCTGCTTCTTCCATTATAATCGCACGATGAAATTGTATTCAACTTTGCATCCACCCAATATACACGCTTCTTTACTAAATCCAAAGTTAAACCATTTGGCCATTTCACTTCGAAGGATACAATCGTCTGGCGATGAGATCCATCCATTCCCGCACGTTCGATTTTTGGATCATATCCCCAATCAGTCCAAAACATCCACCCTTCTATAGGATTTAACGCTATAGCTCTCGGCTCTTCCAGATCATCCTTTATTAACACTTTCCTCATTTGCCCTTCGAAATTTGCCAATTCGATGGTATTCTTCCCTGTGTCAGTCCAGTATATGTGGTTGTAAATCCAATCAACCGCCAGACCATCGGTTGTTGTGATATCGTTACTTATAACGACTGAACGTTCGCTTCCTTCGTCAATTGGAGCTTTATATATTTTTTGGTCCGTAACGTCACTCCAAAAGATCATGCCCGTTCGAAAGACGAAATCCAAAGCTGTAGCGGAGCAAGTCTCATTTACTATACTCGTCATTTCGTGATGGTCCAGCGATATTTTGCGTATGTCCCTACGGCGTGCGAATAACAATGAAGCGTGACCTTCGGTAGCTTTACACCTGGTTAAATCGCGAGGATCTCGCATGTAACCGTGCTGGCATTCGCATTTGAAGGTACCCTTATCGTTTATGCACATTTGCGAACAGCTACCTGGTATTTCACATTCGTTTATATCTACAAATAAAGATTGGTGTTAAAGAAAAAGTGATTCGTATTTCCCTATAACAGAATTCTCGTTTACATTACCAATCAAAACATTCAGGGCATCAGCTTTAAAAGTTCAGCGCCACTACCGTAAACAAAAGCTGTAACTACCAACTTTAGAAATTTCAATCCGGCCAATTAAGTAAGTACAATTAACAGTAACTAAATAAATGTGTTGCAGGAAACAGCATCAAATTAAGTTACAAGTCTCAAACGAAGCGCTCTTAATTAATTTGAATAACACAAAGTCAGCTGAGAACCGGCGTTCCCTCCATGAAATGACCGAATTTTATAAATGGTAAAGCCGTTGTTTAGAGGGCTGTTTGCTTTTGGTGTTAAACCAAATAGTTTTGCCTTTTTGCACTCTTTCGCAAGTGGACTTGTGGAAACAAAATTACCTACCACTATTCACTCTATTACAATTTATTTGGGTACACTGGAACATATAAATGCATTTGTTCTTATTTCTATTTAATATTTCAACATTTTACCCTGAGAGTATACCTTTAAGCGATGGTGAGCTAGAGCCTGCTGTTAATTCTTTTCGAAATTTGCGAGGTGGAAAAATAAGCAGGAAGATACATCTCAATCGCCCTTTGTGAGTACCCTCTTCCAACAATCCGTTCTTGAGGTATAAGGGAATATACCCGATCACGATAAGAGGTCGAGTAGGAGGGTTATGGTTCGTAGAAATTAATTCCTTTCGTTGAGACCTTTCATTAGAGTACCATGAAGGATAAAACTAGTTCCACTTCCCCCCCTCCCCGTACTTTGATAAGAAAACTGAGTTTGAGGACGGTTCCTTTCGTTGAGACCTTTAATTAGAATCCAATGAGAGATAAAATTAATGTTTAACCCCCCCCCCCCCTCAGGCCCCGTCGCTCACTGATCTCGACTAACTCGAAAAAGAATCGCGCTGGAAATTTATAGTTTGTACAAACCAACTTATTTCGATGAGACCTTTCATTAGACTACCATGTACCAAAATCTGAGACTAATTGGTTGTCGTATGTAACAGTTATGCACGTTTTACTTTCAAAAACAGCATCTCAGGAAATAATTCGTGGGGGGGCCCCCCTTTTAGACACCGAAATGTGATGGCTGTCTGGCACACCTTCAAGGTATAGGCTACCTACGGCCAAACATTCCAGGACCATTCCCCTAGAAGTAGTTCGAAACGGCAGAAGTGGGTCCGGACGGACGGACAAAACGCAAACAATTTTTTTTATTCTTAAAAAATGCGCTAAAAATGAGAAGGAAGATGATTCGAGTAGTCTTGCTTTACTGGGAAATATTTTCCTGGGAGGTATTTTATTACTGTAAGTGGTAAGTGTTCGAACCTGGGCTAAGGTAAGAATTTTTCATCTGTGACAGAGATGGGAATTTCCGTGGATCAGTTTCGAGCGTTCTGCCGGCTACTTCGAATTAGGTTTTCTTGTCGTTTTCGTAATTCGTAAGGTAAATACCGGAGTAGCATAGAACAACTTAAAACCTTCTGCACTATGTGGCTCACTCTATAAATAGGCGCAAGCCTGTTGAGAGCCCAGAGGAATAATTAATAAATACAAGTTTATCTCCGGTCGTCGCGATAAGAGTTCCGTTACGGCCACTTAAGCTAATTAATCTCAAGATAAGAAAACACAAGGGCAGTTTATCGTTCAAGGACGCATTAATTTATTAAGAAAGTGGAGGCAGAAGTTGAAAAGAAAGGGAAATTGTTTTAACTAAAAAAGCCGGACGTTAATCGTTGTTTTTTTTGTGGACACTGAAACGTTGCCGATTATTGTTTTGGTGATTGTTAGATTTTCCATTGTTCTTGTTGAAAGTTAGTTGAGTGCTACTTAAGATACTTAAGTCGTCGTGATGAAAGTGAATCTTGTAAGTCAAATTAAAGAAGAAGAACCTAGTTGTTTTTCAGTACTCGTTAAAGAGAGTTACCAATCATCAAAAAGACAATTTTGCATCAGCAATTACAACGAACCCAATGTTGTCTTACACGAAATTTAAGTGCAAGGAGTGAAGTTCCGAAGTATCTTCAGTTTGTGCATCATTGCTTGTAAATCGCACTTACGATCGGAGATTTTGGATTTCACACTTCAAGCTCATTACGATTTCTTTAATCAATATTGTTTCTATCGATCGCTTGTTGCGTGGTATTTGCCTTCTGACCCTAAGTATCTCTATTCCTCTCAGCTTATTTGATTGATTGGTGTCTAATAAATGTCTAATTATAATCTACTTCAGCACTTACCTTTACAAGTTTTGTTATCGACAAGTTTGTAGCCTTGGTTACAATCACAATAGTAGCTAGCGGGCGTGTCTACGCATTTCTGTGAACATCCCCCATTGTTGTCCGCACACTCATTCTTGCCACAAAGATCTCTAGGTTCATCTTCGCCCTCGGGGCAATCCTGTTTACCATCACACACTTGAGCGAGAGCAATGCAGTTACCGCCTCCACAATCAAACTGAGTCTTCTGGTAGCATTTTGGTGTTAAAAATCCTGAACAAAAAAAAATGAAAAAAGATGGAACATTAGCGACAAGTCACAGTTTACCACAATTAACTTCGTCGCTCCCGTCCGCGCATTCAGGATGACCGTTGCAGTGTAAACGTCCTGCGATACAGCTACGGTCATTGCACTGAAATTGATCCGGACGACAAGTTACATTTTGACAGTGAGCGGCAGATTCATCGCCACCATCTGGACAATCCTTAGTTCCATCACACAGCCAGGCGCGATGAATGCAAGTTAGGCGATCGCTGCACCCGAATTCTTGTGAGGGACAAAAAGACAAAGTTTGTGTAGGTTTCGGACAGCCCTTAAAAGATTCCACCATTGAATTAAATCTATAATCTCCCACAGCAAACAAACCTGCTCATCTTTACCATTGGCACAATCTGCATCACCGTCGCATCTCCAGTTGGAAGAGATGCAGTATCTATCTGTACACTGGAATTCTGTGTCTTTTTTGCAGGTAACCGTTGGACAATTCTCTTCATCAGAATTGTCACCACAGTCGTCATCGGCGTCGCATATCCACTTTTTTTGTATACATTTACCATTACCGCATGTGAATTCGTCAGATCGACATGTTTCATCTGAAATCAAAATGTTGTTACCTACATTGGTCTCCTCGGCAGATTTTACATGAACTGAAGCAGTTGGCCCAATTTCAGAACAATATCCAACTTTTGTTTCAGTAATACAAGGGGTTTGATTGATGTGACCCAAAAATACTTACTGCACGATTTTTCATCACTTCCATCGGAACAATCTGGATTATCATCGCACATCCAAGTTAAAGGAACACATTCACCAGGAGCAGCTCTGCACGTAAACTCATCGGCGCCGCATACTTTTTGTTCTGAATTGGAAAGTTATAGGTAGTTTTATAAATTTACTATCAAATGACTTACGGCACAAGTGGGGATCTTCGTCACTGCCGTCATTGCAATCTTTTTCGTTGTCACACTGCCAGCGTGCGGGAATACACCTTCCATTTCCGCATCGGAACTCATTTTTGGCGCAAGATGCTTTTGCTGTAAGTAAAAGAGACGTCATTCAACTTGCGTGACTGACGCGATATGAGCGTGAAACAATTATACGTTTGAGATCAAAAGCGTTAGGCATTTTAGCCATGGTTTGAACTTTCTAAAATTCCCAATTGCATTTTGATCAGAGTTTCAAATCAAAGTGAACTTTGGCGAAGCCTTTAAACCTATTTCAAAAGTTTAAAGAGATTGGATTACAATGTTTAAAAAATTCGAAAATGGCACTTGGTGGTGGCCGACTTTCTCTCTCACACTCCCCCGCTACCTTCTTTTTGTCCCCATGCATTAATTATCTTAGACTCATTTTATTCACTCCAAAAAGATGATTTTACTCCCGTGCAAAATCATAAAGTACCTACCGAGCGATAAGTAATTGCTGTATCTATCTCTAAGAGCTTTAAGCGTACGTACCGTTGAAAATTCCGAATATCAAAGCTTCACTGCTGAAAAGGCTTAAATTACTTTCAGAGAGGCAACTTAACTTCGCTTACATTGTAATTGTGAATTGCATTCTCTTTGTCGTAGTACAGTAGAAAATTAAGCTTCGGATGGGGCGTATTCAATTCCTTCGATTTATGTGAACAGATACTACACTTTGATCTTAGCCATAGGCCGAGAAGCTTTATGTGTATATAATAAAAAAAATAAGATGGGAAAAGAGCATAATGTAAGTAATAAAATCTTCAAGATTTACCTATTTGCAAATTTAACCCGGAACGAAAACCATTCAAAATTAGCGATGTTAACGACAGCGTTCTACTTTTCAAAATGGAATGTCGAATGTATAATCCCCACGGCGTACTTAACCCTAAGGTCATCGAAAATCGGACACTGGCAGTGATGACGTGATCGAACGGTAGAAATTAATAAGACAATGTTACGCACCAGTAACGTTTAGGATTTGAGCCCACATTTTACTAACGTAGTTTTTAAGGAATTGTAACTTTTTTCATGTTACGTAATTGTTCTAAGGAAGAGTCGCAATTTCTTGAAACCGATGGTGGCTTCATTATGGTAGTACTTTTTGGATATAAAGGTGACAAAATTTTGTGACACCGTGACATTAATCGTACTGAGCCATAATGCATATTTACACATCGAGCCGAGGTACAAAATTTGATGCTTTCGCTAAATATATTAATCAGTTGATATGCAAAAAAAAATATTAACAAAACAAACTTCCACTAATAAATTCAACATTATTGTTCCCCAACTCGAAGTTCCGCACCCGAACAAATCGACACCTGCGTTGCTTATCTCGCACGTGGCGTTGATTATCGCCAAACCAATTAATTTTTGTCCGATAACAACTTTTTATTACCACCTGACCAGATAGATCTTTTAACATTACGATTAAATGGTCCCTTATTTATGCGTTTTAAATTAATCATACAAACTAAATACAAGAAATGGAATTAAATGAATTAAACAATTACCGACTAAATTTAGAATAATAACAATAACAATAAATTTTCCCATTCTGAAGCAGGAAGTAGGAAATGCATAGTCGCCTGCAGGGTAGTTTTTAATGTATCCATACACTAAAAATCTACACCTTTATGAACAAGATTATGTACTGCCAGCGAGATGCATAACGTAATTTGATGCGAGAACCTTTCAGTATTTTGAGTATTGAAAGCGTGTTTTGGCTTCTCAAGGGTGTACATATTCAAAGATATGTTGAAACCCGTAATTATGTGCGGTATTGCAGAATCTTTAGGTCGATAAAGTTAGCACCCCCACTTTGCTCAAATCAGGTAAGCATATGCCTATAATTTAGAACTAATTAAAGACTAATTTGTACCCACAAAATTAGAATGTGTACCCGCTTAGTTCTGCAGGAAAACCGATTTTTAAAGTGGAGGTGCTAACTTGAAATCAAGTTAGCACCCCCACTTTTTCCGATTGAAATTTTATTAGTCGCATTAAAAACTATGAATTAAAGACTAATTTGTACCCAAATTAGATTTTCATTGTTTAAACAATTTATATTGAACACTTTTTTTTACTAAAAAAGGGAAATTCTCAGAGTTAATAAAAAGAAATGGAACATATAAATTAAAGACTAATTTCTACCCACAAAATTAGAATTTGTATCCGCTTAGTTCCGCCGGAAAACGGATTCTAAAGTGGGGGTGGTAACTAGACAAGTTAGCTTGCTTGGTTCCGCCAGAAAACATTCTGACGTCATAAGCATTTAAAGACCGCCTGGCATAAATTCAAAATATACGCTGTATAATGCAAGAAGATTCAAGCCCTTAGAAAAATTCTCCGCAATCTTGCATTTTCCCTTTGTAGGTACCTTCCGTTGACACCCCATTTTCGAGATATACACACTAAATAAATCTTTTGACACTTTTCGAGATATTCGCTCTTAACATTTGACATCACTAATGGATATATTTCTTCCAAACGTACCAATCGCCCTTTGTGGCTACCCTCCTCCGAGACTTCGCTCTAGAAATATTAGAACGAATCACGTTGAAGAGTCGAGGAGAACAGTGGTCGGTAACAAGTTATAACAGTCTTACTTACTTTGTAATAGCATTAAATGGTAATAGTTAAATCTTATTATATATCACCTACAATTTACATAATACGAGAGAGAGCTTAATACTTCACTTCGAGTTAGAACTGACTCGAAAGTTCGGAACATAATTCGATTTGGTTATATAGCAAACGCCGGTCTTTTTCGAAAGTTCTCGAACGCTTCCGAATGCGCCCGAATATTATCGAATGTTCTCGAACAAACAAACACGCCATATTTCCCGGAAAAAAATGAGTGACATCTGCTTGTTATGCTTATGACTAATCTTTTATGGTCCCTCAATGTCTATCGGGAATTCTAGAATATTCCCTACAATACACATAAACAAAGATAATAAAAATGATAAACACAACATTTAACATTAAGCACATTTAAGCTCTTCAAGATTATACGCTCATTTTTCTATTGGAAGTTGTCTTACTTATTTCTGGAACTGGAACAGTACCTATAAACAGTTTTATGCCCCGCACTCGTGGCGATTTACTGGTAATAGATGGCCATGGAGTAGGATGTGGAGTCCTCTAGATTCATATTTATGCGCTACAAGTATTTTTTTGTTCGAAACTTCGAGTATATTTATAGACTGAGAGATAACAACAGATTTTGTGCGATGATTTTTAAACGTCACCGCAATTTTCTCTTTACATAGGCTAGAAACTAGGGTATATCATACGTCTGTTGAGCAGTCCGTTCTTTTTTTGTAATTTTTCAAATTTTGACAACACAGTAAACAGAAGTTGGTTTATTTTTCATTTGCCTATTATATGCCATTTATATCTGTCATATGAGATACATAAAGCAGTCCATGGTGTCCTAGGACTTAATGGACTGTCATCTCATTATGTCCTTAGACTGTCAAATATATTGATAGAGTTATAATGTAAATCTATTACAAAAGATACTACTTTAAAAAACCATTCATATTCGAGCGGCCAATAGACTACGTCGCTGAAAAACAATAGCGCCTTTCTTATATTCTTAAGACGGTGTTTACTAATTTTCAAAGCGATCAGGCGTTTCTAAACGGTTATTGTTATTCTGCGCATGCACAACAGACAGATGTGCAGACAGCATACACAATTATAAACGATCTCGAGGATCGTTACTAATTTAGCAGAGTGCATTCTTTCGACCTCAATATTCCCTCCCAACTTGCGCCCTGGCTCAGACGACTTCTTAAAAATATAATTTGTTTACAAAAAAAAATGTTTGTGTTTAGTCCTTAATTTATATATTGTATTTCCTTTTTTTAGAAAAAAATTGTTTAAATAATGTATAAATTGTTTAAACAATGAAAATCTAACTTGGGTACAAACTAGTCTTTAATTCATAGAATTTGATGCGACTAATAAAATTTCAATTGGAAAAAGTAGAGGTGCCAACTTGATGTCTAGTTACCACCCCCACTTTAGAATCGGTTTTCCGGCGGAACTAAGCGGGTACAAATTCTAATGTTGTGGGTACAAATTAGTCTTTAATTTATACGTTCCATTTATTTTTATTAATTCTGAAAATTGCCCTTTCTTAGTAAACAATTGTTTAAATAATGTATAAATTGTTTAAATAATAAAAATCTAATTTGGGTAGAAATTAGTCGTTAATTAATAGTTTTTAATGCGACTAATAAAATTTCAATCGGGAAAAGTGGGGGTGCTAACTTGATTTCAAGTTAGCACCCCCACTTTAAAAATCGGTTTTCCGGCAGAACTAAGCGAGTACAAATTCTAATTTTGTGGGTACAAATTAGTCTTTAATTAGTCCTAAATTATAGGCATATTTTTACTTGATTTGGGCAAAGTGGGGGTGCTAACTTTATCGATCTAGAATCTTTTGATTGCATGTGCACGTTAATACAGTTCAAGTGCCTTATCCGATTTTCATCTTTCATTGACTTTATTGGTAAAATCCGCACAATTGAAAGGACAGCGTGTTTCTGAGTAAAAAAACTCATACGAAGCTTTCAGCAATAAGTTTCCCGAGAAAGTATAGAAATGGTTTCCATGAATAACCGTACGCAATTGTTATCCGGGAAAGGAAAGGAAATGAAAAAAGCGTTTCATCATTTCAAGCTCCCGTCTGTAACATAGTGAAATACAACTAATATCACTCTGATATTAACACCATAGGTACCTATATAGAAAAGGAGATAACGAATGTAATGATAACAAATTCTTGTCCAAATCTCTCATATAAATTCATATCACGTATTCGGGAAAGCAATATTTCCTAATAACCGCAGAAAGGTTAGAACTCAGGGAGAAACCGAACATTTTGTCAGTTAGCAGGCAGGACCTGTGAGTGAATTTCCACCATCTGATCCAAAACGACCATATCCAGTTTAAATAGTTAATTTCGATAATAAAATTCATCCCCGAACTGCCAATACTTCTTATGTGGGTAACAAATTTTCTGGCGGGCGAGGAATTGATATTCAAATTAG